GCATCAATGCTGTTATTAAGGCAGATGGTTACCAAACAAAATACTAGGCTTTTACGAGTAAAATGAGCCATAAACCATTTGATTTAGTCTATTATTGGTGATGCTGCAACTACTCAAAGTTGTAATGGAAATGTTGGTGAGGTGGCTCGTGCCGATGCGCGCCCAGATTAAAGGAAGGTGACTGTAGTTCGTGCCTATTTGCAGGTATCTTGCAACTAGAAAAGCCTACTATAGGCTACAAAACTCCGATATTGCAGCCAACTTTTTCTGCTACTTGAGAGGCTGTGTACATATCTTCCCAATGCGGCTAGTGCTGATGTCCACGTCACAAGGTTAGGCATCACCTTGACAGAGCACTCGTTCAAGCGCAGATACACCTTCATCTTTGTTTTTGAGGCTAGCCGTGCTATGCCTTCGCTTCATCTTCCGGAGGGACCCTACGAAACCGGGCTCGCTCTCCATCGCGAGCGGGGCAGAAAGCTAACGAGAGCTGAATCCTTTCACCCAGACGAGCAGGTTTTCTTAAAAGGGCCTGAATGGGACCATTCACCTCTGAAATACGTTAACCTCTATGTTCATGGCCACAGGACAATAGGAGCGTACACATCGCATCATACCAGCTCCTTCAGCGAACGCTCATTGTCAAGCGACCATGTGCGCAGAGATCGTTATAGGCGCCGACGTCACGAGACTTGATCAGAAGCCCAGGTAATTCTTACCACTAATGGAGAAGAAGAGAAAGAAAACGCAGCGAAAATGTCAGCAAGGTTCCTTTCGACTCGGGCACTCTATGCGGCAAATGCCAAGGAGTCAATATCGAGTCCTTGACGGCTGAGGGGGGTTACGTACACTCGACTCTGGACAAGATAAAGGAACAAGCCAAGTTCTGCCATCTGTGTCAGCTTGTTTTCGACGAGCAAGATACAGAAAAAACTAAGACGTTGGACAGGTACGAGATTAGGCTCAAAATTGGTGTCAGACAAATACATTATTCGCACTCCGATCACCTTGACAGCCATATAACGTTCTGGAAGACCCTCTGGATCAGTCCCAGAGACATAAGACCACACGAATTTCCCGAAGGTAAACTTGGTCGAATGATCGAGGAAGGTCGTCTCGAATTTGAACCTCCCGATCCGAGCTGCAAACACATAACTGTTCGCGGGCGACCAGTTTTGTGTTATACAGACGAAGGCGATCCAGCAAGAGAGAAGGGTGTGCCCTGGCTGCGAGACATTGGGGAAAATACAGCGTCTACAGAGTCGCTCGGAGGAGCGAAACGGTGGCTTGAGGAGTGCTTGGAAGCTACGGCGCATCGGTAGCTCGGTCCTGTACAAATGGATCACCCGCATTGATTTGCAACGGAAAGTCCGACTCGCCTGCTTTCATCGCCGACTGCGAGGATGCACAGAATTCCAGTATTCGACTGATCGAGACACATGGAGCTTCACATAGCTACGCCACTCTGAGCTACTGCTGGGGTATCATAAACTCTCAATGGCTATGTAACAAACAGACTGTGGACCAATATCTTCTTGGTATCGATCGTGAGATCCTCCCAGCTACGCTCCGTGACAGCATCGTCATTGCAGCAAGCCTTGGCATACGTTACATCTGGATCGATGCGCTGTGTATCATCCAAGACAGTACTTCACACTGGGCCGCTGAGTCCGCAAAGATGGGCAGTATCTACCATGGATCCTTGGTCACGATAGCTGCCGCTGGAAGCTCAGATAGCAACGGAGGGTGTTTCAATACGGTCGCGCGGCCGAGGTTCAGCGAGGAAGCCGAAAACCGTAGATCGAGGCTGGGACACACAAATCAAAAAAGCCTATATCACCCGGGGCCTTTGCGGGATGATCTTGCTCTTCTCGAGAGCCGGTTGCAGAGCGGTTCCATAAGCCGATTATATGTCGTCAGATCCGCTGGTTACGATCCTTACGATGATATTTACGAAGAAGAAGTCCTTCACAGTCTGCTGTCTACACGTGCCTGGGTGTTCCAAGAACAGGTACTTTCTCGTCGGATTATCTACTACGCCCAGTCTCAGTTGTTTTGGGAATGCGAGCATTGCCGCTTGAGCGAGGACGGTTGTCCGCAACAACAAGCTCAGCAAATCTACCCAATCCTAGCCTCTCAAAAGCCGCTTAGCACAGCTCAGATAATCAAGAGCTGGTATCTCGGAGCAGTGCAGACCTACACCAATCGCAGTCTTACCCACAAGCATGACAAATTGGTTGCAATCAGTGCTGTCGCTAGGGCAACATATTTGAATAGACGCATCGACTACTTCGCCGGCCTATGGAAAGATTGTATCCTACAAGGCCTAGTTTGGAAGCGTTCTAGCCTTGGAAACAAGAGTAGAACCTACGTATGTCCCTCGTGGTTATGGGCTTCCCAAGACTCAAGCGTGCAGTACGATGCTATCTACAACGAACCAAACAAGTACATCCCCTACCAGCCCAAGGTACTCGAAGTACACGTAGATCGTGATCCTAAAAACCACTTTGGGGATGTGAGCAGCGGATACGTAAAGCTTGACACTTGGATCACGTCAGGATGGGTCTTGCGTAGCCATGCATACGAGCTCAATCACGAGCAGGAATTCATCTTTTACAACAAGTCCCATCTCCACATTTGGCGCGCGACAGTAGTCATGGATGACGACGACTATACAGGTCCTGGCGTTACCGTCGCTATGATCAGCAATTACTATCAAGACTGGGTCGCGCTTGTCCTTGAGTCGTTGTCAGATGGGACGCAAACATATCGAAGGATTGGAATCTTAAAGTGGAAAATCAACGATCGACATAAAATTGAGAATCCGGGGCAGATGTGGAAGCAGGAGTTTATAACTATTGTATAGTGTATTCGTGCAGAGAAGATTGACTAGAGTTGTTGTGCTGCTAGTGTTGCTACACGAACGTGAAGAAGAGCGGTCCATTGCAACAAGATATCCTAGGCGTCTTTCGTAACATCTGGAAGCGAGTCAATTGTACGATTGTAGATCCCATTTGATTCCAAGTCTCACCTGTCAGTTTCCCGCCTACTGAAAGCTGACTGACAGCATCGAAGAATTCATGGCGGTAGATAACTCAAACACACGCAAGTCGAATTTGAACGACTTGCTATCTTTCACAAATGCCACCGCTATCTCTTAAAAGCGACAATCACGTCCTTCCCGCTATTACTGTGCCCAAAAACGTGCTTCAACTCTGCCGGGAACTCCTGCTTCGAAGATGTAGGAAAGTGCGCCCGCTCGTATTTCACATCGATACGCTCAAAACCTTCTAGGGAGCGAAGTTCTCTTAGTAACCTGTAGGTCGAGGCACCAAAAACTCACTCTCCCTCCATGCCAGTATCCTTACGATAGATGTATGCAGGGTGTATGTAGATCGCCTGAATCGAGCCCAATCTATCCCCAGTATTTGGATGATTGATGAACCGCATGAGGCAGGAGGGGAAACTAGAGAATGCGGTAAGAGCGAATCTGTCAGAGTTCAGTGAAGAACTGTACGCAAAGGGAAGAATTTGAATATTGTACTGGGGTTGTATTGGGTGAAGCTACGAATAGTATGTATATGTGAGTAGCTGTAAACAACGCTAGTGTGACGTGGCAGTCACTCTCATGGAGGTGAGGTACAACAGGCAGGAGCACCCCAAACCATGACAAATCTTAATACCTGCCGCTTCTACATGCCAAGCTACAAGAGACCCACCCTTCTTTGGCCATCAGATCTTGTTCAGCGGTTCTTGAAATCTCCAGCCGGCTCTGAAGGCGCGCGAGCTTAGGCCTTGCTGCTGCGTCCAAAGCTTTTCTTCTACTCTTTGGCTGTATTTATGTAAGGGTTTGAAAGTCGTGAGCTAGCTTCTTGGGCTTTCTTCCTGCTTTACGTTCATCCATTGCTTTACACTCTGTAGTCCTTCGTTTCATTCCACTTCTTCTTCTCCCTTCCTCGACGCACAGCGTTCTGCTTATCGCGCTTCTGTTTAAGAAGCCTCTGGGTTTTCTCCAGTTCACGTTCAGTACCTTGTGCAGCTTATTGTTCTGCCTCATAAGCGTTATAGGCGCCGCTGCCTTTGATAAAGGACCCCACCTCTTCGCGGCACCATGCCACCCAAGGTAGTGCACGTAGAGGGGCAAGACCCAGCCTCCCCTGCACTCAGATTTCTGTAATCAGTGCTAATTTACGTACCCACATTGCCCGAACTCCGCACCATCAATCCCGGATACGGTAGAATTAACGACTTTTGTGGTGAACGGCCAGGAGACAACAAGTTCTCCTGCCCGACTTGCCGTCTGTCGTGGTACCGTTTGAGGATGCTGTGGTACGCCTTCCCGTTTTCGGTATTCACGCGTCCTAATGAGCTAAGCTTACTATAGATCTATTTGCTCTGTGTTTGCCAGAACACCAAAACAGATAACAACATCTAGCACCTGAAGTTGTTGCCTGCGCCTCTCATATCTGCTGACTCTGCTACTCGCAAGCTCCAGTCGACTTTTATGGAAGATCATACCTAGGTACGCACAAAACAGCATAGGCAAAGCAGCTAGGCTTATTGATCTTGAGGGTCTGAAGAAGCGGGCTTAATAGGAGATTGCTCCGAAGCCCCTGAGCTCTGAGGATATCAAGGGGTTGTTGATCAAGTCTAGCTTCGACGCCTAAGCTTTCACCATGAAACAATGGATGGAGTAAGTATTGCTCAGTTCTCACAGAACGAATGTGCTGACGAATCAGATTCTCAGAGCACGTAATACAGAAGCTGATGCTTGATCAGTGATTCACGGAGGCCCCTACGATCTATCAGATCAAACTCTTTCCTGAATACTTTGCGCAAGCTAGAAATGGTCTCTTAGAGGATCGAATTACTAATACGACACTAATTTATTGCTTCAACAACTTGAAGCGTGCTACTAAGCTGCACACGAACCAACAACAGTACGCAGAACCAGGAGATCCTCAAGTTTGTGTCTAAAGAGCTTGTCCTAGGAGGGTTTTTGTCAACGTGCGCTCGGCTAAAACCAATCGCGCCTATTCCTGTGGCTGTACATATTGTAAGGTCCCTCTTGGCAAGCGACGAGTATAAACAGCTACATCTTCGTATATATGTATCCAGATGGCATTTGCGATTCAGTTCATGTTATGTGTTGGGGTCCGACCAGGGGAAGTGGTTGAGTCTGACGCTTAGTATCAGACTAATGAAGGCTTGCTCTATAGGGATGTTGAGCTTGTCTATTGGAGCGAACCAAAGCCTGAGTGACGTGTCTATGTTAAGCTGAGCAATCGCAAAGGGTATCGTGAATACAAGAAGCATGCGTACGTAAACACTGCGCCCCTTTTAATTGCAACTGACGCTGGACATGTCACACGTATATACTGTTCAGCTCCCAGTACCTGCTATCTACAGCAGTACTGTACCTTTTTGGTCCGTGTAGCGCAGTGGAGCTGAGCTGTGTGCCTCAGAACAGGATATGGACGTACGACTGTTTTAATACCACTTTGAAGGGCGCTGGTCAAAGAGCCGGCTATCAAGAGGATCTTAGCGCGCATTGCTTTAGACGCGCCTTTGCGCACGCTGTGAAGGGAAAGTTTTATCTGCCATAACGCTGAAGGAATGACCCGCCAAACATGGTTTCTTTTTTTTTTGCCGTCTTGCTCACAGCATGCTCTTGCCAACAGACGACTTCGTACAAATTAGCGATACAAACACCCAATCACCGCCCTCATCCGTGGTGTTTACACCGTATCTCAGTGTCTTCTGGGTGCCTTTCAGGATCTGAATCGATCCAGTCCCCTGTCCATGAAGATTTCCAGAGTTCTCAGACGTGCCCTCGAACAGCTCTGTGTCATGAGACACCGCAACAGTGCCGTTGTTAGGGTTGAGTGTGGCACTCATGGTAACCTCGATGCGGATCTGGCCGCCAGCCTTCTCGCTCAAAAGTTGGTCAACTATGCAGTCTTCTCAGGCGTCTCGATTCCTGCTTGGGCCAATCTCTGATCGCGCTTCTTCTGGACGAAGGCTCTCCACCTGTTTATAGCGTGTATGGCTAAACTTGCTCTCTCGAAGTACGAGATTCGGGCTGGTGTGAAACCAAGCCAGTCGATCTTTCGAACCCCGATACTTTCTCTTTGACGCGCTAGATCTGACAGTCCTTGAGTCAGGGACCTGATCTGCCCCTCCGATAAATTTCCATCCCGCAGACCGATCCTCAAGTTTAGGTAGCCTCTTGGAGCTTTTGCCATTAAGCGCCTCGGCTCGGTCACTACTGACATCGGGGCGAGTAAGATGTGTTGCTCATTCGGTAGTCGCGACCAGAGCTGTGTTGGTACATCGTTTCTACGCGGGTCGTCGCATAGTCGCTGGGCCAAATGCCATGTTGAGAAAGGTCGAGTGCCGTACTCTTTCGACAGTTGAATCAAGCTATCCACCAAAGATCGAGTGAAAAGTGTGTCTGCAGGCGCTGAAACAGACTCGTCTGGGAATAGTGTGCCCATGAGTTCAACCTTCTTCGATGTCGGATTGCCTCCTTTAGTAGCTGAACGATCATGGACATCCACCCTTTCGCGTCTTGAAGTATGAATCTCGTGATCTCTGTCTGTTGGCGATTGCCGTGAGACTGTTGCGTTGTCATGCATTGTGTCATGCGAGCTTGCACAATCCAGAATCGTTAGGACATCAGCTTCCGTTTCGTCTGACCTCAACATATCTTCTACCGGGTTCCAACTCGCATGCGCATCTTTCCATAACCCACGTGGATTGGCCTGAGTACTTGCGACCAGCTCAAGTCGATGGTAGCGTTCATTGAATGTCCCTTGGCCAACATAGTACACGATAAGAAGGTTATTAGGTCCATCATGTGCCTCGACGAAGCTAGACACACCAGACCTGAGCTGCAATTGAGGCTTGGCCCTAACACCAAGCTCGAGAATCTCAACATGGTAATGAAACTGGTTGCGAAAGCAGTCTTCAGCCATAGTGATCTGGAAGGTCGTCAGTATATGCTAGGTGGTCTGGAAATTCGCTCACCTCATTACGAGTTACCAGCTCTTCGATGTGATCAGACCATTTCAATAACAACACTGAGACTTTCTCATAGCCTTTCGGTAGGTTCATAGTTTTCGCAATCGCTTCATTCCACCATATCTGCATATTACCTACCTGCGCCTTGGCTTCCTCATCTTTGTGATTGAATGAGCGGCTCATTGATGTGTCCAGGTCGTCGTCCGCAGATACGAGTCCGTGTATTGCCCCGGCGTCAACGATGGATCGAGACTTTTCGGGTACAGATGGGCTTAGCGATGCTTGCGTTGAAGGCGTCTGTGCTTCGCTGTTCTGATGATCTGGTGAATGTCTTCCGGCGTGAGCTGTGTCGACCTCGGTTTCAGAATATGTCTCTTGTGGCATGTAAGTATCCATTTCAGAGTTGGTGAATTGAGCAGAAGCAGGCTGAGGCGGATCCTGACGTGGAAATTTGACATCCCTCTCACTGGCTTGCACAAAACCAAAGGCATCCCCACTTCCGCGTTTCAGTGTTTGCAATTCTTCCACTTCCACTGGGGATTGTCTCTCGCTTCCAGACGAACTTTCGGCAGCAGCGACTGGGAGGCGTAGACGTGGCGCGATTTGTCTCTTCTTGTGACGGTCTCGTCTCTTTCGCTCTTCGTGGAGACGTCTGAACGCATTGTCTTCGCCTTCTCCGTAAAGCAGTGCTATGTGTAAATCGAACAAGCCGAGAAGTGAGTAAGCTTTGTCCTCGTCGCGCGTAGTTGTGCGATAATCGGACCATGAAATGCGCTCCTCAACCGAAAAGCGAGTCAGAGAAGAAGCTATCCCGAGGAACGCTTCTCGGGGGATGCGAGTGATCTTGTGTATCTCCCGTGCTAAGGAGTACTTATCGCCCAACTTTGAGCCCTCAGCGGAGAAAAATTCGACTGTGTTCGGGGCGAGCAGCTCTTGTAGTGTCCAGCCTCGGGTGAACCATCTACTCTGTCGAAATTTTGACATCCATAGCTGTTGCGATGATGATTCCCCTAAATGGCCATTTGGAGGGTCGACCACAGCTTCACATGAGACATCGGCAAGGTACACATAACATTTCGCAGAATTCTGATACCAGCGAAACATTGAGTTGATTGCCTCCTGGAGTTCGGCGCTGCTGGACTTGTCGATACAGCATGTGTCGACCCAAAAATGTTTTAGATCGTCGTCCGTAGCTTGTTTCGCGCAGAAGCGCAGTTTGTCGTAGCCTTGCTTGTCTTTGCCTCTGCCTTTCGCGATGTCTTTGAAAGAGACCTCATCTTTGTGGTTCTCGCTCCATGTGTGAGAAAGTATGGCGTAGGGTGGGACGTTCCTACCCATAATCTCCTCGTGGATGAGTTCGCCATTGTCATCAGTCTGCAAGAGGTACATCGGCATCGCCACGAACAAAATCGCAAGCCTTCTAAAACGAGCGCGCCATGCAGACTATGTGGTTGAAGATGGAGTCGTGAGTGAAAGAGATGATCGAGATGAGGAGTGTGCTGTGTTGGCGGGTTCACGGGTGGGGTGAGCCACCGTGTTCGTGCGCGTACCGCGTCCGTGCACGCGGTCACCACCTGCCGCACACCACAAAAATGAGGTTGTAGAGCCACACACAATAGTAGTTATTGCAAGAATTTGTGTTGTAATAGTAAATAAGCCTATGCAGTTAAATCCCTGCCTCCCATTTTGTTGTGCGACAGATGGTGCGGCCACGGCTGCTGTGTTGTGAGGTCACTGTAGGCAGGCAATCGGACACAGGATGGATTGGGGCCGTCTGGGGCCAAATGGGATGAGATTAGACAAATCCTTGATGGCTGAGCCTCAAGGTTCATGAGGAATATATACAGGTGGCCCGTGAGCCTCCAGTCCAGCCCCGGAGTACATCTGAGGGCTGGCCAATACATGTAAGGGGAAATACCCGTGACACTACAATCGCAAAAAACAATGGTGTTTCTCGCACAACGTTGTCGCGCGCGCATAGGCGTGTGCAGGTCCCCTGACACGTCGCTAACCACAACCAACGCAAACTCAGCAACCAACAAGAAGCAGACCATGTGAGGTATATAGAGGAGCTCACAGCAAAATTTTGCATCTGCAGTTGTGTCAGATCACTGCTCCAATAGCTGGGTTACACGCTTCCTCAACCGTCACAGCGACCAGCTCACGGCTCAATGGACAACCGGCATGGACTCTAATCATCACAACGCTGAGTCAGAGTATAAGTACAAGCTGTACTTTGACCTGTTGCAACAGAAAATAGCCGAGTATGACCTTGAGCCTGAGCACATGTACAATATGGATGAGAAGGGCTTTGCTATTGGAGTGCTGGGCAAGTCAAAGCGCATCTTCAGCAGGCGTCAATATGAGAAGAAGGAGGTTAGGCAGGCTTGTCAAGATGGCTCACGTGAGTGGGTGAGCCTGTTGGCTGCAATCTGCGTGGATGGTACTGCTCTCCCCCCTGGCATCATCTTTGCATTGAAAAACTCAACCATCCAGAGACAGTGGGTTGCCAATATCAAGGCAGGAACACACCTGATTCACGTGGCTTCTTCGCCTAGAGGCTGGACAAACAACAACATTGGATTGGCCTGGCTTGAACAGGTGTTTGACCGCTATACCAAGCCAAAGGCGCGGTTGAAGTACTGCCTCTTGATTGTAGATGGCCATGGTAGTCACCTGACTGTAACGACGCAGGCCAGTAGGGAAGATGTCCAAAGTAAGTGTGAGTCCACTACGAGGCATATGGGAGTGCTGGGACGTTGAGAACACTAGGATTGAATTCCCTACACCTATAGGTCTTGTACGAAAGGATACAGAAAAACTACTCTATCTAACGACTGTGCCAAACTGATTAAGTACACAGTTCGGAGGGGAATCGGAACTACCCATGTCTAGGTGACACGGAAGTAGTTAGCGACAGGAAAGAGAGCGGTGTGCTGAGTCCCTGCGGGACTACACGTTATCGGAGCGCTTTTGGTCCAAGGCGTTACAATGGCACCAGAAGCGATAACAGCTCTCAACCCCTGTTAGACACTTGCTACCTTCTTGAATACTTATCTCGGCGCATCTGTGAAACACTGCACTTTCAAAAGAAGATGTCACTGGGCTCCTAAGGCATGCAGCCTCTGTTATCGTGCCCTCCAAATTCATCTGCAGATATGACCAAGCTCAGAGGCTTTGAAACAAGGACGCAACGCGCTTACGTAGCCAGGTATCGTACGCTTAGCGGCCTGCAATGTACACCTGCGCTATGCCAAAAGAGCTAAAGCTGTGGCGTAAAACTTAAGAGGCGCTGTCTAGCCACCGCTAGAGCGCGGTCGTTTACTGTCTGTTCTGGGAAATTAGTCAAGTCTAGAATCCTTAAGGTTCTTAGTATATGTACATAGTAACAAGTGTTTCAAAGCTCCTATATTAGTAACCAGCACAGAGAGGCAAGGGTTTAATAAAGCCTGCTATCTACCTACTGTTGTTTGCCTAGGTCACCTGACAAAGCCAGACTCTTCCTGATCCTACCCCCATGCCTACGTGGGTCTCACTCACAGCTGAGCATGACGGCCGGTACTCAGACGGTATCCATAGTATGTTGCTTCCAGAACGCATTACCCAGATACTATCTGGACTTAGACCAGCACCCTGGCACTGTAGTTCTGATGCAGTAACGTCGACGCGGTCTGTAATCTGGGAAGTAGATAAAGTGACAGTACCTATTTCTGTGTGGATCAAGGTACTAGTAGAATCGAAAGACAAGTACTGAAGACCTGTGCCAACGTTGATAGTGCTGAGACACGCCCCGCTGCTCGCGTCCCATATCTTGACAGTCCTGTCACCTGACGCTGACGCTAGCCAGGTCGAGTCGTGCGAGAAGGCCACCGAGCTAACATCCCTGCTATGGCCCTCAAGCGTGTGCAGGCATGTCCCGCTGCTCGCGTCCCATATCTTGACAGTCCTGTCACCTGACGCTGACGCTAGCCAGGTCGAGTCGTGCAAGAAGGCCACCGACCTAACATAACTGCTATGGCCCTCAAGCGTCTGCAGACAGGCACTCCAGCCGTTGCTTATAGCTGGCTTAACAGCTATACTACTTGGCTCTTCGTGCTGGAACAGCCTTCTTGTCATGCTGTCTGCTGGACTGAACAGCAGTGCAGATGCGTACGCTTGTAGAGGATACTTCTCAATCGCCTCTTTGTGGTACATAATGAACCGTCGTGCGTCGTACACAATGCCAGTTAATACTTTCGTGTCCCCGAGTCCCTAGCCACGTTAGCAACTGTCCTGTAAAGACTATATGTCGAGTTACGTATGCTGTACCTGGACCAGATACCACAGTCTTGTCATCAAGACTATCCCTTTGGCCATACTGCTACACAAGCTGAGCGCTTCTAGCCAGTAAAGGTATCTCTGCCTAAGAAATGCGTCTGTAGTCCTGGCGTGCTCGTGGTTGGTAGCGCTATGTGTCTGTATCTTGTCTATTGAGTCGCAGAAGTGGTCAATCCAGTACGCACATGGGTAGCGCGACACGGCTAGAGGATCAGGGAGAGGCGGCTTCACGTCCTCTATACGATATCCAAGCGCTTGGAGATTGTATATATCCCTATGCAGTGTTTTGTGCAGAATCGCAAGTGACTTCGCAAAAATGTCTTGGTGTACACGGTCTTTACCGTCTGGAAAGACCTTGTTTAACGCTTCTGTACCGAGGAAGTCCTTAGCTGACTGATGCACAAAGTAGACTGTGTCGTTACGCAGCGTGAGGAACGATCCGCAGAGACCGATGATCTCCCGCACAGAATCTAGGTCGTTAACAAAGTCCGCAAGCTGTTCAGTAAGTACAACTAGCTCAGCGACTGTGACGGGTCGATATAGGACAGCAGTCACTGCCAGCACCTGCAAGCACACATCCGCGCTATCAGACTTTATTATCTGCTGCAGCATCTGCTTGTAGAGAGAGTCGAGTCCAGGCGGGAACTGGGCCAGCTTCTTGCGCACGTTCCACTTTGGCGTGGCTTTGAGGTCTTGGCACACTAACGCAACCCAGAGAAAAGTGTCGTTCGCGTTTGACTTCAGGTGCTGGAGCACGGCGTGTTGAAGTTCCTCTTTGTACTGTTTTTCCTGCGCTAACTGGTCTACTTTCTGCTGGATAAAGACGTCAACTGCCGCAGCGACCGACTCTGCGTTCAGCTCAAGGCTCAGCCGCGTTTTGTGCTCTGCACGCTCCAGTTGTTCCTCGATGGCCGGCCAGTTGCGACTAGACACGATCCACTTAACGCGAGAGGCTGCAGACGACTGCTCTGCGATGAAGCGGAGTAGCTTTGGCCGATCAGTCATGCATTCATCGAGCGCATCAATAACTAGGTATGTCTTGCTTAAGCCCGTGTCTTGCAGCACATCTGCAAAAATGCCTGTCAAGGCGACCCAGGCATTAGCATCTTTGAACAAGTCTTTACCTGTGTGATCGTGCTTCCTGCGGACATGCGACATGAGCGACGGTTGCTGGTGTATAAGCATGTACAGCAAGCCCCGTAGCACAGCTGTAGCGCTATTGATGCACGGGTCGGTCGCCTGGCAAAAGAAGTACGACAACAGGGCGGATCTTGGCATAGAGTTGTGCAGTTCGTCAATGATACCACACAGAAGCATCGTCTTTCCTTTGCCAGGGTCGCCTTTGACCCACAACAGTCGGCTATCCAAGCGCTGTTCCCATTGCTGAAAAGTAGGGTTGTCAAGCACCCAGCGGTAGGAGTCTGCGAGAAGACCGCCTTTGGTATCCTCGATGCGCTTCTTGTCGTCCCGAGGATCTGTCTGGCGTATGTCTCGGAGGCACTTGTCTTGCTTTTCCGCCTCATCTGTAACTCGCTTCATTGCTTCAGCTGGACTCTCACCGTCGAACGGCGACAGGCTAACTCCCAAGATCCCCATCAAGGAGTATGCGCGGTCTGTCGGAATTTTTGTTGTCCGATGTTCATTCCATGAGATTCGCTCATTCACACTAAAACCAGACAACGGTTTGCCCTGCAATGCTGAACAAGGGATGCCTGTGACTTCGCGCACTTCTTTTGCCAGCGACAACTTGTCACCAAGTTTGGTACCTTCCTTAGAGAAGAACTCTACTACGGATGGCGCGAGAAGCTCCTGCAGCGTCCATCCACGGGTGAACCATCTGCTTTTCTGGAGCGTGATCTCAGGCGTCTGCTCGCTGTGCACAACATCGTTGCCAACTAGAGTGCATAGCACCTGGCGCGAATAGAAGTAGCGCTGCATCGTGCTGCTATACCATCCTGACACCGTATAGAGAATAGAGACCATCCAGATCCAAAAGGGCCATCGTGCATCGTGGTGGCGTGGCGCAGCTAGTAGAGGTTGACTGAAGACATCTGACAGATATACATAACATCGAGCTGCGTTGCGGTACCAGCGAAACATTGACCTGATGGAGAACGCGAGCTCAGCTTTGCTGGCCTTGTCAATGCAGCACGTGTTGATCCAGAAGTACTGCAGACCGTCATGCTGTGCCTGTCTTCCGCAGAAGAGGATCTTCTTGTAGCCTAGCTTGGTCTTGCCATCGCCTGTTCGGATGTCTGCGAAGGTCACCTCGTCCCTGTCTGCTCCCCATGTGTGAGAAAGTATCGCGTAGGGGGGTATGTCGCCCTCTTCGAAGCTGTGGATGCTGAGCTCTCCGCTTTCGCTGTACTGCAGGAGCCGCATAGGTTCGTGTGAGTGTATAAGAGGTATATGTGATGAGAATGGGACTCGAAAGGCTAAGCTTCGTAACTTGACTGTGTGGGCGCTTGCGGGCTGCTTTCTTGCTACCGATGGACGGCCAGCATGCAGAGAGAATACGAGCAGGTGCACCAGCTCAGACACTAGCAGGACCCTGTGGTGAGTTGGAGACTGCCGGCTTTCGCTGTGTTCTTGTCTCGGTGATCAAGCCTCAAGGCGGGGTAAAGCGTGACTCGATGCATGCGCCGTGCGCTGCTCGCGAGGCTGAACTGCGTCCGCATCGAAAGCTATGAAGGACGCGGTGCCACTTGCGCTGCCAGCAGGGGTCTAAAGACCGACGCGCTTGAAGCTTGCCCGTTAAGACGCAGAACAATCAAGAATCACAAAACTCGCAGCGTCACCAGCCTCAGCGTGACTGGTACAGACGCGGCGATGTCGCCTTCCTGTGGGCGCACTCCTTCTCCAATCCTCAATGGAGCAGCATTTGTTTGCCGTTGAGGCGCGACCTCCAGTCTTCATGCAAGCTCCGTAAATCGGGGATGCAAAGCACGTAATTTTTGACGGGCTGTGTTTTGTGATGTTCTTGTAAGAGACGCGCCTCTGCGCTAGTTTGCCTTGTCTGCTGCCCGCAAGTTGTCCGTGCCATGCTGATTGAAATTTACCTCAAACCTCCTGTTCACGCACTGATCGTTACAGCATCACTGTCTCTCCCTTTCTACACTCTCTCCACTTCCACGTCTTTTCTGGATTCCCAGTGACTGTCGTCGACTCAACTACAGTGAAGCTGTCTGGTTTGGGTGTGAACATTGCACGCTGCCGCTGTTTTGGTTCGCTCACAGCCGGAGCACCATCTTCGCCCACGTTGGTGGCCAAACGCAACGAACGCACCACATCAGATCAGTCAAGCGCGATGCATATACCGGTCGAGTCGGCTTGCACAGCAGAAGCCGCTGCCGTACTGTGGCTGAGCATCGTTTATCAGCAAGAAAGGCACAGATCGATAAAAGAAGGCTTTAGGGATAACTCTCGATCAGTGTAATCAGAAGTGCTCTAGTACATGCGCGCTACCGGGGCCCTCCACGGGGTTAAAGCGGCAGCTGGCTCTTGTACATCGTGTGCCCTCACCACTTCGCTTTGGGATTGCGACGAACCAGGTTCTGCCTCCGGCGCAGGGCCCTTGCGCTTACGACCACGGGGCGCTTTGCTTGCAGCACTTTTCTCCTTCGCAGCCTGCTTTGCAGCACGCTTCGCTTCAAGATCCTCATACTTCATCACCTTCGTCCTCCCGAGGACGTCCGACTTGGTCGATCGGCGGACTCTGGCTTCGTTGTTGATCTTGAAGAGAAATCTGTTGTGATCCTGCAGAAGAGCCCGCTCGGCGAAGGATATCCAGGCTGCACTTGCGAGCTTCTGTAAGCGCCTCTGCATCCGCTGTCTGCTAGTCTTGTCAAGCGCCTGAGTATCGTGTTTGATCATGTCATGCAATGTCGTAAGCGCTTCAGTTGTCACTGGTGTTGCAGGCGTCACGGGCATTACGGGCGTGCGCAATACTTCTGCTGACGGACAGGCTCCCGCGACGTCAGCAAGTCTCGGGATGACAAGTGCAGCAGGCGGCTTCGGGATATCTCTAAGCACTCTCTCTGGGTTGAAGGGAAACAAGCCAGTCGCTGCCCATCCGGCTCGGATGTTTCTTTTTGTCATAGCCCTTTCCCTTGCAGGGCTGTATAGGTAGGTGAAATGCTCTTTGCCAACAGTTTCCACGCCTCCACGGTTCAGCCTTTCTACCTGGTCACGATAGGCTGCCTTCAAAGGCGCAAAGGGCCCAACGACGCATGGCTGGAGCTTGTGAGACGTGTGGGAAGGGAGTCGACACAGGACAATGTTGTTTGCAAAGCTAAACTCCAAGATCTCCAGGGTTTCATGCGTGCCAAAGCCATCGGACAACAGCACGCGCGGCTTCCCATCAGCTCGCTCTCTGGTTTGCGGGTCGAACACCCGGGTCAGCCACTCCAAGCTGATCTTGGAGTCATTGTATCCATTCTCAGAGAGTGCATAATGCCATCCAGGAGTGGGATGGGTGGTCCAGTTGCTCCGGTGAGTCGCAGCAGGCCAGATGATCAGAGGCAGCAGGGCTCTGCCATCGACACTGATACATTCAATCGCCGTTACCATGGTTCGCTTCACTCCAGCGCCTCTGCTGTTCTGTTCATCGTCTTTACCTACCAAGACTTTGGCTGAGCCAAGCATGCTCAGCATGACTCCTGTCTCATCCATGTTATAGACGTTCTCTGGCACGACGCTTGGATCCTGAAGTACCGGTCCAATCACGTCGAACCACTCCACAACCTTCTCGTGTATATTGTTACCATGGCGCTTCCAGTCGATCGATCGGACTTTCTTCGCCTGGAGCTGGGTATTCCGCTTCTCGAAGGCTCGAGGCCAGTTCTTGCCCGGCGGCTTGCTGGGCCTGTTCGTGGGTAATCGTTGGCGAGCTATACTGAAGGCTAGCGAGCGTACAAACTTGATCCGCACGGGCTGCCCAAGGCTAGACTTTAGCAGCAAGAACCTCACGAGGGCCTTCTCCTCATCTCGAGTCAGGTACTGCTGGCTCTCGGCGTGCTCCTCGCGCGAGCGTCGTCCGTGGTCACGGTGAATGACCGTAGAGAGAGGAGCGTTGCCATATTCTGATCGGTTAGCATAAGTATCAGCTACACCTGCCGGCAAAGCCTGGGCCAGCGCTCTGCTGGCTGGGTCCATAGCCGTGGTTATTGTGGTTTGTGTAGAAGGACGGACCCAGTGACGAACAACCATCTCACAGCCTCGACTTCCAAGAATAGCGGGCAAGTCATTGTGACTGTGCCGCGTTGAGAGAAGGTTCCAGAAGCATGTGCCACAGCTCGACCCTCTTCGGCATAGCGCAGATGTACATCGCAGGCCGCTAAGCGCACAATACCTGACTACGTAAGCGCGCTGCGTCTTTGTGCTTAAACTTGCTGTCTTGGCCATATCTGCGGATAAATCCGGACAACATGTTTGCAGACGTTGCACGTCTTTAAAACACAGACACACCTTCTTTGGCAGGCACTGTATCTTGTAAATGCGCCGAGATGAGAATTTGAGAAAGTGGTGGTGGTATAACAGGGGTCAACAGCTGCTCTCACGCCTGGTGTTGTGGACGAGATAATCAACAGCATGCCCTAGACTGCTGTAATTTTTATGCTGCACAGCAGGCGCAGATAGAGAGATAGCTAAAGAACGTTATTAGATCAACCCTGACTTTATAAATGTGCGGCGCTAAAGTGCAAAGCACTTTGTTCTAAACTCTGTGTTGGTGCGGAGGGATATTCGAACTGCAGGGATGGACTTTAGACATAGAAGATCAAGATACGCGAGAAGGGAACCAGCTCTTGCCTACACTTTGCGACGAACAGATGTAGGTGCGCAGGTCAATACTGCAGCTCCACATTCTGCCAGATCCAACGCCCATAACAATTGTGCATCCACACAAGGCAAAGCATGAAGGTTGATACTCTGATGGTATCCAAAGCATGTTCGTGCCGTCATGCTTGACCCAAGTGCTATCGGAGCTGAGGCTTGTGCCTATATACAGAGGGAGCTCAGAGTCTACGATAGCTACCTCACTAAAAGTTTCAGAGCTGTGAATGGGGATAGTGCCTATATCAGTTCGGAGAAAAGAGCTGGTGGAGTCGAAAGATAGAGTGTAAAGAGATCTTTCGATGTCAAGTGTCTGCAGGCAGGCGCCACTGCTCGCATCCCACACCTTGACGGTCTCATCGTATGACGCTGACGCCAGCCTGGTTGAGTCGTGCGAGAAGGCTACAGAGCTGATAGAACTGCTGTGGCCCTCGAGCGTCTGCAGACACGCTCCGCTGCTCGCATACCACACCTTTACGGTGTTATCGCCTGACGCCAACGCCAGCTTGCTAGAGTCGTGCGAGAAGGCTACAACCCGCCCGGATAGTCTACCCCTGACCACCCAAGCCTTGCTTAGGTGACTGTCAAACCCCTACGGACTCCCTGTACCTCCGCTCATCCCCGAGAACCAATCGAATAGTGTCTACAAGCTTTGCTTAAGGCACGAATTGCAACACGAGCTCGCTCCTGAATCGGCGGAACGCTTCCTCCAGCCCCTCACCATAGAGCGGCTGGATGTAGATATCGAAGAGGCTGAGCAATATATACGCTTCGTCTTCTTTGTATTTAGTTTGGCGACCGTCTTTCCATCGTAATCGTTCTTCCAAGCTGAACTGGGAAAGGGGAGCTCCATCGAGCGCCTCTTCAGAAATCCCTGTGATTATTTGGATCAATGACTTGAGCGATTTCTTGCTACCAAGCTTCTCCCACTCTTGAGAGAAGAACTCGACAGTGCTTGGAGCAAGCAGCTCTTGAAGCGTCCAGCCACGCGTGAACCATCGGCTTGCTCTGAAAGAAGGCTCCCAAATAGATATGTCGAGCATGTTGTCAGCTTTTCTCTTCCTTATCGATACGTCTAACAGATACACATAGCATCTCGCCGCGTTCTGGTACCAGTGAAACATGGATTGGATAGCGTGGAAGAGCTCCGCCTTGTCCATCTTGTCGATGCAGCATGTGTCCACCCAGAAGTATCGCAGGCCATCTTGCTGTGCTTGTTGTCCGCAGAAGCGAATCTTCTTATAGCCCTGCTTAGCCTTGCCATCGCCGTTCACAACGTCTGCGAACGTCACCTCCTCTGCATCCGCTCCCCACGTGTGTGACAGTATTGCGTAAGGCGGTGTTGCGCGATCATTGAAGCTGGCGATGCAAAGCTTGCCATGTTCATCGTAGTTCAGAAGACGCATCGCTTTGTGTGGATGTATGGCAGGCGCATACGGTGAGAAGGAGACGCGAGAGGCCCGACGCGGCAGCCCGGTCGGATGAGAGCGCGGCGGCTGGCTCTTTAAGACGAGCTTACGGAGAAGGGTGCGAACGGCTACAAAGCCTTAGGTAGCTACACGGTTAAGACCGCGATGTTGATGTTGCAGGCTGGAGCTGGTGTTTTGCACCATGTTCTGACTTCTGTGAGGATGCTCAAACGATCTACCGTGTCCGTGCGCGTAATGCGCGGATTCGAGTAATGCGCCGAACCACCAAAATAGGTCCACCAAAAATGAGGCTGTAGAGCCACACACAATGGTTATTATCATGAGATTTTCTGGTGGAGTAGTCTATAGACCTATATGAACAAGTTCCTCACTCAAACTTTTGTGGCACTCTGATTGGGCGGCCGCGGCTGTTGTATTTTGCCGGAGGGGATGGGGAGCGAGGCGCGGCAGCAGCACGACTACGGGCAGCTGCACTACCACGATTCTGCTTCTTCCTGGGTGCTGCAACCTCTGAGGCCTTGCGCTTGCCTCTTTGGGACAATTGTATAGGTTTCTTGGTGTTGCGCTCCCTCTGTTGACGCTCTTTTTCGGCCTTGCGTTCGGCAACCTCCTGAGCCTTCTCAGCCTTCCGCTGCTCACGCTCTTCCTTCTCCCTCAACTTCTGCTCACGCCTCTCCTGTGCAATCTTCTCCTTGTACAGCTTATTGGCGTGCCTCAGTTTAGCCATCTCTGCTTTTTTGAGCACCTCTGCCTTCTGCTCTTGTTGTTTTGCCTTCTCACGTGCGCGTGCTTTCTCTACTCTACTAGGAGAGTAAAACTCGGCTCCACCGTGGTAGTCCTTGTGACGCTGAAGCTCAAGAGGCTTGCTCTTCTTCTTGTGCTTCTTCTGAGTCTTGAGAACCTCCTTAAGGCCTGTAATCTCGTGGTGGAGGACTGAGTTTTGAACTGAGATGTGGTGGAGTGAGCGCCTGATCTTTTTCAGGTCTTCACTGCCTTCGTCCTTGGCGACTTTGCGCAACAGAGTCTCTGATTTGAGCCAATCCTTGCCGCTGTAGACTGAAGAAGAGCTTCTGTTGCTATCGGAGCCCTCAGGGGTGGGCTTAGCAAATCGCTGGAGGATTACGTTGGGTCGGAGGGGTGCTATACCTGTAGCCTCAAAGGACCTGAGTATCAACCCCTGAGTGAACGTACTCGTCCACGCCTTCCAGAACAGGTGGAAGAAGTCGCCCTTCTTGATAACCAACAGTCCCTGGCCATGGTGAAGGTGTGTTGTGAGCTCCTTCGAGTACGCTGTTGAGAGAGGCTTGAACATCACCACATCGAGTGGCTGGAGCGTGTGGGTTGAATGAGGAGGAAGTATAGCCAAGAGTATCCTGTTCTGATTGCAGTAGTTGATGAAATCCATCGTAACGTGAGATCCATGGCCATCTAGTATCAATAGGCGGTACTTTCTTCATGCTTTCTTCTTGGTATAGCGATCAAACACCTGTTTGAGCCAAGCAAGAGCTACCTCATTGTTCGTCCAGCCTGAAGGTGACGAGGAAACAAAAACAGAGTGTACCCCTGGCTTGATTTCCTCCACCCAGCTTGACTGTATAGTGTTGTTGGTAGACTCGTATAGGAGGCCTGGTGGCAGTGCTGATCCATCCCCACACACACACGCTATAAGCGTCACCCAGGCACGATTACCATCTTGAGTAGTTGCTGTAACCTCCTTCTTCTCCCACATACGTCTACTGAAGACGTGCTTGGTCCTGGTGGTGACTCCGATCATAAAGCCCTTCTCATCCATATTGTATGTGTGCTCAGCGTCAACGTTGTATTGGACGATTTTTGACTGCAACAGGTCGAAATAGAGCTTGTACTTGGTATACGAATCGGCGTTGTGGCGATTGCTGTCCATACCTGTTGAGTATTGAGAGATGAGATGGATCGAGTGGTTGTTGATGAAGCGGGTAACCCAGCTCTCGCTGACTGGCTCTGTGGCTATTGACGACGCGAAATTTGCTATCATTTCCCTTGTAGGAGGTAGACGGCGAGCTGTAAGCTCCTCTATATACTTGACAAGCTCGTCCTCCTGTTGTGGAGTGAGCTTTTGTTGTGCAATCGCCTTCTCTTCACGCGATCGCGTCTCGTGTCGATATTTTCGAGACAGGGTTGAGCGCACAACCTTATGTTTTTTAGCCAGCGCTGTCCACGGGATCTTATCGCATGGTATCATAGAGTCTATCTCTTCAAAGGCAGATTTCATAGTCATTGTGGCGTTGAGTAATTGTACAGTGAAGTATGGGTACAAAAAGGTGGTTTGGCGCATTACGCGAATCCGCGCATTACGCGCACGGACACGGTAGAGGCGGGGGCAGACGCGACTGATTGCGCTCATGCAGGCCAGCACAGCCCCAACGAGTCGCATCTTCGCGATGGCATTGCCCCCATTGCAACGCACTTCTCATCATCCAGCATCTACAGCCTAGATTGACCCTCTTTGTTACAGTCGCGACGTAGCTGGCTGCGGACGGCGGTGAGCGCGTTGAGACATCTATGGGCAACACGGCTCAGCGCTGTGGTTGAGGCCACGGTGCAGCAACGAGGCGGAGGAACTACTTATCACGTAAACGTGCAACATTGATATCAGTAGCCGGTGGGTCATCGTCGTTCCAGGCCAGCGTAGACGGCAGGACTTGTCTCCAATCCTCGAGGATACACACATGCACTGTGGCACGCTGCGCGACCTCTTTGATATTGACGGTTTCAAAGCTGCGGCGAGCATCTAGATAACGTCAATACGAGAATCAATGGACATATTGTGCATTGTGCGACTTACTCCTGCCATAGAGCATGTTATGCGCCTCGTTTAGTATGACACGAAGCCAGATTTGACTTATGTGCATGAGCATAAATGCTTCCTGTGTTTTTGGGTTGGCAAAAAACTTCTTCTCAACACTAGTTCCAGATTCGATGGGTACCGATTCGTATACGCCATCTGGATACGCGATCTCGCTTTGGAAATCTGTGATACTGCTGGGTGGCAGCGTGCTCATCTCGGCCAGAATATCTGACTCGAGCTGAAGACAAGTCCAGTATACGCGCATAACCAGGTTGAGCCGGTAACGCTCTTGCGGAGGCAGAGATGCCCTGTTCTCCAGGCACCAGTTCCGGTCGAGCTTCTGGTAGTCCGCCTTGATAAGGACAAGGACGACACGGCAAGCGTTGTTGATCCAGCTCCAGCTCTCCAAGACACGAGCAAATTGACTCAGGTAGAGTGCAGCTAGGATCATTGCCTGCGCATGTGCCACTGTGTTGCCGCCCTGTTGATTTCCAAGGATGTCAGTTGCGTAGGCAAAGTAGCCCATACCCGGTAAGACGTCGAAATTGCGTGGTCGATTGTTGAAGCTGCCGTTGGCATGCACACCCCAGCCACCATTCGTGTGCGACATCCTGTCACTCTGAGGCGAAGGTAATGGGTCGTGATGAGCGCAGACCTTGCCGAGCGCGAGGGCAAGGAGGACGAGGGCATTACGCAGGGAGCGTTCGATTGCGTATGCACTACCAGATCGCTTCCGCTTCAGGCTCTGGCTAAGCTGGTGGTTTGCCAATGCGTTGGCGGCTGGTGATCCGGCGTGTTTGGTGTTGATGTCCGGACTGTACTGCTCGCTGAATTCATTGATCATCCTTCTGAGCTTACTGGCATCCATGAAGGGATGCAGTTTGTGGATGTTTTCGATGTAGGAGTCATACAACTCCCAAAGAATGTGTGAGCGGAAATCAGGCCTGCCGTCTGGTCCAAGTCCGCCGTCGCTTTCTTGTCGAGGGTGGCTGCTGGGAATCTCACCAGGCACTGTTCCTGGGCTGGAGGTATCTGCAGGTGGGCAGCCCCAGAGGCCCTCCCTGCCAGGTGCAGGAGAGGAGGCATCCGCGTCGCCGCCACTGTCAGGGCTTCCTGGTCCTTGGGCTCCATCGTTGAGATCCTGGCCCTCACCAACTCCCCAAACGCGAAGCAGGCCTCGGTCCTGCTCGAGCAGCATTGGGTACTCTGACACTTCGTGGCCGCCTTCGATCAACTTCTCAATATAGTCGATGTTCCGGCAGAAGTGCCCCATCGAGGGCCACTCCTCGAACAGTTTATGTGCTGGTGTGGTGTGGTCACTCTGTAATCCGCTCTTCTCCTTGGGTGGTAGTCCCGTTGCACCACTGTGCTCGCTTCTGACGCTGTCAACCGGTGTTGCTGGTTGCTGAGGAGGAGCAAACATGGACCCTTGCTTGATCGGAGTCAATGCTTGTGATGCTGAAGGAGACATCTGTGATTGTGGTCTGTTGGGTGCTGTGAAACCTGCTTCTGGCGAAGCAAGGTTCGTGGTCTGGTTCGGGTTGGTCAAGGGGAGTCTGGTCTCGACGCTCTGTCTCCATGAGGTGACCTCTCCTACATGATTTTTCAGTACTTCGTAAATGTCATTTACGCTCTCCTGAAGTTGTATCATGCTACGATCTTGTCTGTGCTGTGTCAGTAACTGCTGTTTGTCCGAGGGTTTGTCACATACTTTGGAGGTGGCACTTCCTTGTACTGGCAATCTAAGTTGTTCTCTCTGCAGAACTGGCATGGTCTTGCTTCATCACACTTCTGTTTGCGTGTTCGACAGTGGTTGCACGCCTGCGTGGCGCGAACCTGTTTGCGCCTCATGTAAGGGCTCGACGAACCCTGGTCATACTGTGTAGGTGGTGTAGGTAGTTGCGGCAGTGGACGCGTTGGAATTAATGGATGCGGTTGTTGCTTTGGGTCTGTGGAAATAGAAGACCCAGCGTGAAGCAGAGTGTGCGTGTAGGGTTCCATAACTGCTTAGACTGTTGCACAATCTCCGACCCAGGCAGACAAGGCAACAAGAGAAATCAGCCTTGAAAAAGAGGCAGACAGTGAGAAGACAAAACATAGCATTACTAAGATTCTGCGGCAAGCATTCCAAACAGTACTGTAAGACCAGCGATGACTATCGGTCATTAGCGCCGTGCATGCAAGGCAGGCTGGTCAACCTGTGTGGAGGCGTTAGGAATGTACAACTAGGAAACAAGACCGTTCATCCGCAATCAAAGGAACACTACAGGACTGCAATTCCCAAGTGAAATGCAAACCAAAAGCGAGAGGCTGCATAAAGCTAAGACAAAAGAACGGGTGGAACCACGCCATATACACATCTTCTGGAACGCAGAGGTCCTCCAAGCATTGTGCGACAGGGTTACAAGAAATCTGTATCGTGACGTTCGTCCTCTTCAATTTCTCCATGGCTGTAACCTCGCGTGCACACTCAAGCTGGGCCCTGCATATCTCTGCCGTGGACTCGACCTTTGCTCGTAAAACACCATTGAGCGTACACCGATATCTGTGCCCCATACGGAATGAATAGCAGTCCCAACATAGAGGTTACTGGCGTGGAGTTGACTTGTTCAGAGAAATCATTCGCTGGAGCAACAGAAGCCATTGTTGTACACTCACATGCATAATCGGCTTCTGGTTTGCAGAAAAACAGAAGAAAGTTCTGACAACCCGAGCATAGGGCTTGCCGGAAGGGTAACAAGACAAGCGCCCAGACTACTTGTGATGCTGACGGCTAACGGCTAAAAGCTAGCTAAAAGTCATTATTACCTTGCCTAACAACACATACAAGAGAGTGCTGACTTGTAGCGAGTGACCATTCTGTCATCTGGGGTGATGTTGTTTTCCATTTTAGGCAAAATCTTCATCTAGCGCGACAGGGACCTTTGTCGCATAAGTACCTTGCGTTTTGCAAAAACCGGAAGCCGATTGTGCAAGGCAGTGTAAATCAAATATCAGTAGTCCCCAACCGGCTGACGCTTTCGGTGGGAGACTCGCCATCTTCACTCGTTGAGGCTAGGTGCCGGTAGAATAATGGGCGGAACAGGGATCATGCAGATTGTCCGCGATTTAGCGTTGGCAGGGAGTGTGCATGGTATCCGCGATTTAGTGGCAGGGAGTGCATGGTGTCCGCGATTTAGCGGGGTGAGTGCATAATGTCCGCGATTTAGCGTGGACAGGGTTTTGCGTGATCTTGTTATCATTTTTGCAGCCCGCGCACTGTATCGTACCCTCGCTTCTTCATACCTAAAATACTGTGTACAAGCGCATTGCTCTGCAGATGCAGCACTAGAAGCACTTTGGAGCCTGCTCCAAGCATGCGGTCCTTTTGACTTTTCCGAGCCGCATTTGGAAGGAAAAGACACCGTGAATTGAAAGGACATTGCGCTGCGAGGACGACTTAGCTACAATGACGTGCGTGGGGAAATGTATTGCTTTGACACCCTCTTTTACATATCTTGCACGGTAACCACATGAAATCATTTTAAGGTGAACTTAGTATGAAGCCACGTCATCCCATTTCTGCCAGAGCCATGTACCAAATCGCGTCAAACGCGAAAATTTGCGAGGGCCATGATATGTTCGATCCGTGCTCGCTGAGCTTTCGTATCGGCGGTCTGCAATGATAATTTTCATGAACCGAAACATTCCTTCCAATGCGTTGAGTTGCTGGATATCACCCTGGTTGGTGACTGTCAAAGACGTGAAACCCCATTTTCCAAGGTTCCACACAGCTCTTGATTAGAAGGCGTCGTGCGTTCCACTCGAGTACCCTTATCAATGCGTTGTATGATTTCAATTGCCGTGGACCATGAGTCAGGACACAAGAAGAAGAGGACGTAAAGGAGGTTATGTTCGGCTTGAGATAATTCGCGAGCTTCGCTGTCCTCAGCTGCATCCTTATCAGTAAGTGGGCAAGAGCAGACTCATTCACAATTTCCTGGAAAAGCTTACAAGAAAATGCAGCGTGCTGCGCTATAACCCAGTGGAACTGATCGATGCCGCCACTCATGGTTTGAAAGAGGTGGCAAGATTTTCAACACAATAGTAAGTCAAAGTGGATAGTGTCATGTACAATGTGGGATCGGATCACTCCACTCCAGAGAGTTTGCAAGAATGTTTTTGGGTCATAGACTCGCGTTCACCGCACCTTTCATGCATGCAGGAGCAAGCCATTGGTAGCGCCTTTGCGGGGCAATGCTTCGGCCAGGCCGCCCCTTATTCCGAGCACGTTGGGCCCAACCTCTTCAAGGCAATCACCGGCATAGTCGAGCCAAAGAGCTGCTTATTCGTGCAACCTTTGACAGGCTCGGGACGATGTGCCCGGAAGAGCCATTCTTGCTCCCCGGTTAGCTGGGACACAAAGAGTTCCAGACCTTACAGTACGAAACGACTTGATGCTGAGTTCTTCAATCCATACCAAGGCTTGACTGGCAAGGATAAGCCCAGAAGCGAAGTTTGTGAAGGGGGCAAGAGGGGCTCATCGAACACATGATTTTTCAGGAGGTTTATGGCAAGCGGATATTAAGTACAGCCACTGACAGTGTCCCAGACCTGATCCGTGTAACGGATTCTTTTGGCCACATTGAGTGCAGTGCCCCTCCCGATTTAAGAGAGTTGCCTCTGGATCCCACATATCTCCGACTTACGATCCCACGATGATGGTACGTCAGGTTACAATCACGTCCAAGTTCATAATCCAACTAATTTTGTGAAGATTCTTCTGGTCCTGAAGAAAGCTCCGTTGGAAAAACAATTGATTCAACGAAATTCGACTTGAGGGAAAAGGAGTGATCACATTTCCGACAGCTTCCAAATGCAGAATTCGCGCTTACCGCGACTATCATCAGATTTTTCACTCCATATCCACCGCTGTGAGCGGCGGCTTAGCATTGCAGGTATTTACCAGAACTTTCAAGAACCTGCTCGTACTTGTAACGTGCACCGCATCTTACTGCACTGCCTTTATCGTTAAATGAAATCACAGATCTCATCGGATCCATCCGATGAGTGGTGTAAATCGTTTGAGAAGATAGGTCATTTTTAGAGTGGGTAGCAGCGCATCTCTGCGTGTCCTGATAAGTGTGTTCACGAGAATCGCACCTTCTTCCTCTTCTTTGTTATCCCGCTTTTGCCCGCTCCGCCTTTGGCCACAGATGTTCTCCTCAATAGCTTTCTTCTTTCATTTAATATCTGTCCTAAGTTTTCGAAACAATCTTCGTGATCTGCCAGCATACGTTTGATATCGCTGATTTCCTGCTCGAGTGCAGTAATTTTCTCGCTTTGCCGGGCTATATCACGTCTGAGCTCATCTACCCAGGCACTCACATCTTCTGCTTTAGAGGAAAAGTCAGCCATATCAAATTGTTGTATGCCAGAACTTACTTGGTACTTTCTGGTGTTGCTGTGCTCTGAATAGCAATGACTTAACAAGGATTTCACCTGGATCTGCATTGCCGCTTCTTGAGTCCGTGAATCCAGACAATCCCTTAATTCAGGTATTGTGTTAGCTGTCTATATTGCATTCAAATATCACGCAGTGTTCTATGTACCGAGTCCTTGTATAGATCAGGGTCTTCAACTGTTGCCTGTGAGTTATCCGTACCGTCCGACTGGGGACAAGTGGAATGAGGAGACGAGTATAGGTCCATCGTGGGGTTGACCGAGATCTTGGTTTCGCACAAAGCAAGCACTCTTTTATACTACCTGATCTCCGACCACCATCTGCGCTTCGCACGTCGGTGGTGCTGTCTATGCCAATCAACTTAGCAGTATTATTTCGATCCACTCTATCTCGTATGAAGTCGGCATTCGGTTGCTAAGATACCGTCTGACTCTGAGAGGGCCGACGAGCTCCTCCCATCGGGGCGAAGCCACGATCACGCATTATGATGCCGATGCTCCGTTTCTGCCCTGTCATTTTTCCTATCTGTTTTACCGCGCGAGTGCTTGAGACGTGGGATATAAAGAGTTCTTGTCAGTTGAGCGTTGCATCGTCATTTTTACCCGTCATGGAGCGCACACTTCTTGTTGGCTTTACGACAAGGCTGTGTCTAGGGCGCTATACCTTATTGATTAGACGAAAACGTCTAATCAATAAGGTATAGCGGCTCCTGTCAAGGTCAACGAACCAATCGCTGCGTACAGCTTTCACCCGTTCGTTCGCGTACCGCCAGGCTGTAGGCGCCGGGTTTAACGCAGGGTAATACCTCGCCTACATCTACGCCACTCGGCCCACAGCGCTGGGCATTGCCGGCTTTTAGGAGATTACAAGACGTGCGATGCTGCGCTTGCACTCTCTATTTAATAGCCCTTTGATTTTAGGCTCGAACGGGAGAAAACTGCTTGGTAGAAACATGGTACCAAACCGCACGTCCGTCAATGGAGCTCAAAGTGAGACTTACTTGAAGCAAATGAGCGAAGAGGGAGACTCGAGAAAGAGACAGCTTTCCATTGTTTGCAACGAAGGCTTGTATGCGCGCACTGTACGCTCTTTCATCACGACGAGCTGCGTCGCCAACGGAGAATCGGACAACCAGCGACAAGTCGTCCTAGGGAACGACCTTCTAGCCATAGGGTCTTATTTCGCAAAGCTCACCCATCGCTCTGCCGAAGCCATCAAGGCTCAAAAACAGTTCAGCTCTTTCCAGTTGCTCCTTTTATTGTCATACATCGCCTTTGTTCAACACAAGGGCTATTCGGACGAGGACATCGATCTTCACATACAAAGTTTCTGCGTAGTCAACCAGAACCGACGGAGGCAATTAATCCCACGAGCGCTCAAGGTGAATCAGGTCATCTGTGAGATTGTCCGCGTTTGTGGTTGGAGTATTGCCCGAGCTACAGAGGTGTTCTTTCTTTGTAAGTCTTTTCTCAATTGCTCCTGTTTGGTCTTCTAGAATTAACAACTACATGATGCACTTCCGCAGCATAGGCTGTTGGCAATCAGTACAGAAGACCTCGACCGCATTCCGCAGCAACTTCGCGACGCGAAACACGATTTCAAAACGTGTCTCACGCCGCGGTACCACATACCAGGCCTGTTACTATGCCTCGTTACTTCAGCAGGTCTTGCTAGAGAAACTTTGTATGTATTCCGATCTGTGGCTGTGACGGAGCTGATTGTCAACAGACTTCAGGAGATAGGCGAGGCCTTAGGTTATGATAGCACTTTGCTACCGTGTGTGCAAGATATCTTCCGGGTTGACGCTGCAGAGGAGCCTCAGCCTTCTATACTTCTCGATGCCAGCGCCAACTCTTCGACCAGCAGAAAACGACCTCTAGACAATAAACGGAAGACTAGATCCCACAAGCGTACACAGGTTGACACGAGAATTCCAAGCCATCAAAAGGATGCCTCAGATCCCGCACCCTTGCATGCAGAGGGGAGAGTCGGAACGGGTGACGTGCGGCAAGCTCTTGAGCAGCCAGTACCTAGCGCTTCTCACTTACTTGCCAGTACTTCTGGAAGTAAGGGGAGTGTTATAAGCAATGGACCGCAAGATATGGGCCAAGATTTAGAAGGTGAATTTCCCTCCACAATACCTGCAGGCATCATTTCGCAGCAGGAAATTGATGAAAGCTGATCCACGAAGGCGCTGTATGCCAAAATCTACGGGCGGACCCTACAGACAAGCCTGCTGGAAGGGAACTGGGCAGCAGTGACCTACGCCTATGGCCAAGGGCAGCGATATCCGGTGAGGAATTTTTACTATTCGGTGAGGCAGAAAACCAAATAATACTGGCTAAGTGGTCAATGGTTTTCCCATAATTGCCTAATTGGGTAATCATTCTAACTTTCTCCTGGCCAAGTTTCCCTGCGCATTGTTGAAGTCGTGTCTTAAGCAAAGCTCGTAGGCACTATTCGATTGGTTCTCGGGGATGAGCAGAGGTACAGGGAGTTGTCAGGGGTTATCACTTAAGGAAAGCTTGGAGTGATAGAGGTTTGACTATTGGTCGGGTTGTAATAACCGTCATAATAGTCAAGGGGTAATCGTCTAGTTAAAGACCGTGACGACTGGTTTGTGAGGGCTCGGCTCGGTCCCATCTGAGCCACACGGACCAAAAAGGTACAGTAACCCAATAGATATGGGTTCTGGGAACCAAACAGTATATAGCTGTGACAGGTTCCAATGAGTATGTTGAAGTCGTGCCTTAAGCAAAGCTTGTAGACACTATTCGATTGGTTCTCGGGGATGAGCAGAGGTACAGAAAGTTGTTAGGGTCAGTTATCACTTAAGCAAAGCTCAGAGTGATAGAGGTTTGACTATTGGTCAGGTTGTAATAGCCTTTGTAATAGTCAGGGGTTAGTCGTCTAGTCAAAGACCGTGACGGCAGGTAGCAATGAGTAATACAGAGTATACTGTCTGGCTTGAGAGCAAGTGAGGATTGAGATTCCAATAACAAAGTTGATTGACGAGGTTGAACACAATGCCATAAGGGCAGCGTGTCCACTGGCTATATACTTCCAACTGAATGTGCTCGTTGACGAGCACTCATGTGTATCATGCTTGTTGACAAGCACTCATGTGGGTCATGCTCGTTGACAAGCACACTGACAAGCAATGAGGCTTGGGTAACTTGCTTGTTGACGAGCGCACTGACGAGCGCACTGTTGAGCGCACTGACGCTTAGCTACTCAGGCCGCTCGGGTGCAAGCGTTGCCGACGCAATCTAACTGCTCGGGTTGCCTGTCTTGCAGTCCCTCGACTCCTCTCGTCTCATCTCGTAGTCCTGTTCATTCAGTGTTGTCTTGCGAGTTGCTCCTTGATTGTTACGTGATCATACTGAGTATCGTCGACACGGACTCACTGCTTGGGTCAATCGATACTGCAGTTCTTTGATCATAACAGCCACTGTCACATCAAAAACCACCCTGAACCCGATCTCCCCTATGGACAACACCTTTGGATACCAGAGGAGCTAGAGTACGCCTTGTTGATGCATGGGGAGCTGTTGGAGGTGCTAATGAGACATTGGATGAGTCAAACTCTTCATCAGAACCTAGGTCTTCAACTGCGCCAGCATCTACAACACTATTGTCATTATCTTCAATGGAACTTTCTTCATCAGATGAGATGAACTGTGTCTCCTTGGCCTTGATGACAGCCCTGAGTGCATTGATCTCAGCTTGCAACGGTACAAGGTGTGACTTCATAATGTCATGGAGCTGTTGTAGATGTGCTGAGCCAGTCAACTCCTCTTCCACAGTGACCTCCTCTGTTATTGTGGTGACTTTGCGACGCTTTCTGCATACAGGTTGTGATGGCGGAGATGCTTGTAGAGCATTATCCTGTGTTGCCTGACTGTACTCATGACGGGATGGCTCACGTGGCTCATGTTGACGATGCTTGCGAGGCTTTGCATGAGGATTTGCCTGCAATGATTGTGTCAAAGTCCTTGTAGTTGCACCTTTTGGGCGACCTTTGGATCTCACAACACGTGGCTCAAGAGGACGGAACACTTTGTCATCCATGTTGTATGCCTCTCCACGTGCACGTGGAGGCTTGAGCCACCAGTGTTGATCAATCATGGACATCTGCAATGTGTACACAGCAGTGGGGTCACCAGAAGTTGTACGAAGTTGAACAATCTTGTCATGCAGGAAGTGCTTACAGGGCAAGCCAAAGGTGCTAGTGAAGGCATTAGAGCATGCCTTACTCTCTTTGTACTCATCAGAGTTTGCTAGCACAAGTTGATCCTTCAACTTGTACAGTGCCTTGTGGGATACTTGCCGTGTCAAGTATGTCAGTTCAGGTGCAGCTGCCTTGACTGGTACAGAAGCTGCTTCAATTGCAACCTTGGCATCATGCTCATGACGGAAAGTCTGCAGCATTAGATGAATATCCTTCACCACATCCAGCAGGTTGGAGAGACTCTTGAATGCAATGCGAGTCTTGACACGGTGATGAGCAGCTTCTGCACGAGAGGAGACCCGCACACCATAGTCAGGATAGTACCTGCAACAGTACTCTGCCCACTCATCATTGTACGGAATCTGATGCTTGGTGAGGTACTCTAGCAGTGCTGGGTATGCCTTGTACTCATCCTGTATGTCAAACCAGTCACTCCAGAAGTCCTCCTCTGTCTCCATTGACACCAATTGATGCCATCGCTGCATGAAGCCGGTCCGCTCCTTCTCAATTTGGAGTTTCTTTTCATCAGTGTTGACTCGGCGTACATCCCAGGCCTTGATGGCACAGTTTTGTACATGCTTGTTGATGTGCCAAATGCAAAGCCGCTGCTGCACAGAGGGAAACATGACACGCAAAGCAGCCTTTAGTGCATCATCAAAGTCAGTGACAAAGCATCTGACTTTGATGCAGAGGTACTGGAAGAACTCTTGGTGTGCCTGCATGTGCCATGTGTAGTGTTGGGTGTCTTTGCCTCCCATAAAGCCAAAGCACACATCATAGATGGTCTCCATGGCCGTGATGCCCACAGTATGCAGAAGTGGCATATTGTACTTGTTGCACTTGTATGTTGCATCAATTTGCATAACATCAGGGTTGGCTTTGATGATGTCGTACATCTCAGGATGTGCAAAGAAGAGGTTGCGCACTCGGTTGTTCTCATCAAGGTTTACTTTGTACCAGTACTGTGTGCTGCTTCGGCCATCTCTCATGTTGTTAGGGTCATTGGCAATGTTGTTGATGTCATTTTTAGCACTGTCATACTCATCAAGCATGCAGAGGAGTGCTTCAATGGGTGTCATGCCCTGCAGCTCTTCGCGCCAGAGCCTTGCAATCTCATTCAGGATGTCTTGTTGCCTTATGGAAATGTTATCTCCAAGCAGACTGGCAAGGATATTGGTTGAAGACTGGCGCAGTTTCCATTGTTGTTGAATGCGCACAAGTGTTGCTGCATCACGCTGACGGTGCTGGAACAGAGCAACAGCCTCCATTGCACAGTCATGGTTATGATGAGGGACTTTGACAGTGAACTGCCAGACATTCTCCTCAATGACAGCATCTTGTACAAGCTTCAGCTCGCCTATCCATTCATATCTGGTCATGCCTGATCGTGTGTTCCGCACCAATGATGTGTCCTTGTACTTGCGGCCACATGCACATCGCACTCGGCACTGCTGAACGTATCTGTGTAGGTCCTTGTTTGATGGCTTATGGTGGGAGAGGGAGTGTATGCTGACAGCAAAGCCAAGATGTTGAAGATGTCGGTTCAAGGCATTCTTTGCATTGTGGTGTGTGGGAGAAAGCTCAACAGTGAAGTATGCAGGTGCAGGAGGATCGTCTCGTGGTATCCAGAGAGCATTGGGTTGCTCTGGGTTGAATTTGGATGGAAGAGAATCCAAATTCATTTTGATGAGGTTGGGGTCAACAGTCACGGCGCGGTATTTGGAAGTCATGAAAAAGTTGTTGCATAGGGAAACTGTTTGTGTTTGTCCACCAGGCAGCCGGCATGTGGACCCTGTAGACCTGTACTTGCCTAATTAGGCAAGTATACTACAAAGTATTGATTGTAGTAAGATACTGCATGCCACTGGACTTACCGGACATAAGCTATGCCTCACCAAATAGTAAAAGTTCCTCACCGGATATCGCTGCCCATGGCCAACGGGCGTCATGGGCGCACGACTGGACTTCGTGTTGCAATGGCCAATTCCGCACTCACCCGATATACTTCAAATTTACAACTGGGGGACGCTGGATGCTCTGGAAGTCATCTTGCCCCACATCGAGTCGAAGGAGACGGCGAAGAACACAATACCGGCGTTTTCCAATCACAAGCATGACTATTATCAAGTTTCACTGGAACACGCAAGGATCTCAGACTCATTTCCGACATTTCTTATCGAAAGAATACTGCAATCCAGACAATGGCAAAACGAGGAAAAACAAAGAAAAGACAATGCTGCAGCCAATCCATCTACGACCTCTACAACCACATGCCTTGTTGTCGGCCTCCAGAAGCAATCGGCAGGCACAGAAGACAGAAGTATATTCAACAGGTGTATTGTATATGCTGTGGTGGGCAGCGGCACCTAATACTAACACTGGGATGGTTTATGGAGTAAGGAGGTCATCTGTGCCACGTGTTTTGGTGCAGTGTTTTTGCTCTTTCCAACAAACACAGATACGTCATGTAAACAGACCTTGATGACGGCTGGGTGAGAGACAACAATCACAGAAGAACAACACAATATACTGATTTTACTGCTTTGCGCGGTTCCCCCCTGACTTACTGCCTTGCGCGGTTACACCTTCATTATTGCGTTTTCTGCAACAAATAGGCTCGTTGCGTATAGGTACAGTCTGCTGTCCAATAGATCGTATCACCATCTTTGACTTCCACACTGGACTCGATAGTTGTGTCTTCCTTCCCGCGCCGGAGCATGACCACACCATCCTCAACCGTCACTTGACCATCTTGTTTGACTTTATTGTATCCTAATCCTTTTCTTTTGTGTCGTTCGAATTTTCCCTCGGGCATAACTTGGAGCGTTGATAGCGTTCAGTGTATAGCAGCGGTATATGCTGTCCTTAGTAGAAACGTCAGCATCGTACAGCGCTGCCGGAAAGAAAGTTAAATACAAGAGATGTTTAGAACACTCCGCTCTTCATCGCTCGATGCGAAGGCAAAAGCTTAGCTTGAAGCGGGCAGGTAATACATACTGCGAATGTGGTCTTGAATCGCGGGTAGGTTTCTCTATGTAGCCTTGTGGCAACGGTGTAAATTTATATCGCAAATTGTATAACGTTGACGTGCTAGCGAAGGTGTGCGCACTTCGCGATGTGAATTCATGATCAAAGTGCTGTGTTATGTGGCAGACTGCTGTCATGGCCCAAGGTCACGAGAGATGCGGGGTACGTGGGGCACCGTCGACATGTGGCTGTGCTTTGTCAACCGCAAACGCATCCACTCAGATCACCCAATCCCAGTCTATACGGTAGGCGCCTAAAAGCAAAGCCGCGACAGTGCTGCTCCCACGCATGCACAAGCTAGCGGGTGAAACTAAGACCTCGTTTCTCCGCGATTGGGTCAAAAACGTTCTGGTGTGATCATGACAACTCCGACACGAAGCGACCCCAAACTGTACGCCTCAAATTTAGTTTGAACATTTCCACACCCTCGATACGAAGCGTTTGCATACATGTCTATCAAACAGCTTTGTTCTGCTGCCTCAGCCTCTTGTGGTTCTCCCCTGGATCTCTAACCGGCACTGCAGCTACTCTCAAGACAGTCAAGTCTCGGCCGCGGGGAGGCCGGAGCCTGCGTAGTCTGCAGATCCAAGACCCTCCACTTCAGCATCTGCAGACATGTAGTTTGCGAGACAATAGCGGATGTCAACCGCCCCTTCAACGCACCTGCGATGCTGGCAACACTCATGTGGGTCGCGGCTGCTGACTGACTATGTAAGGCTGGATATAAGGCGGGATATGTAACTCTTGACCATTGATCCGATTCCAAGCTATTCCAATCTCACTTTTCAACCCGATAGATTCACACCTGCGCAAACATTCCGAGGCTTCGTCCAGTGACCTAGCATCGAAGGCCTTGATTGCCCTTCGTGAGCTTTAGCACCGGCTGCTGAGGACTAGGTGCAGCGGCAATTAGCGTTAATCATAGCTGAAGCCTCACTGGCATCAAAGCGTTAGAGATTCGCCAAGATGTCTGAGGCCAGTGGTTTTGACTATCCTCCTCCACCAATCGTGCATACAGAGTTCTATTCCGATGTCTTTGGAGCTAGACTTCGCGTCTACTGCTCATCATCACGTTAGTGAATATAAGAGCTGACTTAGTGAGCAGGGACATAAGGGCAACGAAGTTGTAACCCCCACACCCATCGCAACACTGATGTTCGAAAACGGCCGTAGAGTGCCTATCTACGAACCACTATCTGGCCACGAACATCTTTTCAGCATACAATCCGTTTCCAAGGATAATAAAAAGACCTCCATTCTTAGGCGGAAGAAGCCTGCGACCGACCGAAAAGGCATTTTGAAGAGAACTCGTTCTGTTGCTCAGGGTTTGACCCTAAGCTGTAAGGCTGATGTTGACGGCAATCTCAATGCTACCGATCATACTATCCAAGACGTGCCTGGAGAGTCGCACACCTTCTACATCGGAGACATCGATGCATTCAAAGACTTCCTCACCCGCCGCTTCGATGAGCTGACCATGAGACCACTTCGCGGCATTGCAACTCACTGGATCAAGTTTCTTGCACCTCGGCAAATTGGTGAATGGGGCACGTACCATAACATGCTGCCATCTAAAGCAAGCACGCCTCCTTGGTGGCCTAGAACCGTCATCTACAAGGAGCCTTCGCATCTGAATAAGAGCGGTAAGTAGCCTGCCTCCACATATATTACTTTGACTGACACCCTGACAGAACTTTTCACGTTAGCAGTTGAGATAATGATGGTCCACCGCAAGGTAGACGTGATCAAGCGCCGCAAAGGTTTTTCCTGGATCTCAAGCCTTTGCGACGTGGCCAGTTTCATGATATGAACCACATCTTCTGATCACTTCTCTTCATCCAAAGGCCCCAAGCACAGCCAGGAAATGAAGAAGATCGCATTAAACGAGATCTTACCGAGCATATTTGATATCGCACAGTCATACAAAGACCATATCGTCCAGTACAACCTCTTTGAAGGCTCTGGCAATGCAGACCCCGGTCGAGGCAAGCATCACACCTGGAAACCCATTTCAAAGCCTGTCAGAGAACTGCGTGGAAAGAGACAACGTCGGACCGTTGCAGATCATCTGGATCTTGAAGCCTCCGGGGACAGGAGCAAGCCAGTTGATACGGTGACAAAGCTCCGTAGAGCTACACATAGGCCTCAAGCAGTTCTGTTACCTCAGCCCAGAACTACCCAAAGCCAACCCAACATCCAAACACCGGGACAGTCTATCACAGCAGAAGACAGTAATCGAAAGGCGTGGGAAATGGGCACACCTGTATGGACCTGCGAGCCATGCACGCCTGAGAGGTCTAAAGATGACTACTCCTTCGATCAATCATTGCACTGGCCCCACCTTGCGGGAGAGGTTTCAGCGATCAACTCACATGCACGGACAATATTTGATCAGGGTATTATGCATCCGCCTTGCAACATGGGCTCCCACGGTCAGCCGGTGCACCCTACTGCCTGGACTGGTTTTACTAATCAGGCCTACCACCCCATGCAGAACTACCTGTCACGGTATCCTCTCCAGATCCCCTGACAATATCCGGATCCGCTCCGTACTGTCCCTGACTATACGCACCAAATCCCCAGCGTCCTTACGTGCCTCCGAAGCGGACGTACAACCTCCGGTCACCTCCGGAGCGGGCCTGCTACCTCCAAAGCGGGAGTATCAGAATTCTGCAAGCCCCGCTCTGGGACTTGCAACCCCAATACCTATCCAACTCAGTTCCGATTATTAACCGGTAACCGAACAAACCCACACGTAAGTATATAGACTATTGCTGGTAGAGTTTCTGTTTGGTACACAACGTCTTGTACCTACTTAGATACCGTACGTAGTAATTGATTTAGACTCCTAGCGAGTCCTAAAGGGCCTACTTGTAGCATCTTCGTGACACTACCCCAACCTGGTGCCTACTTCATCCTCCATGGGTTATAGTCAGTATGCCTCTTCCATGCCTACCGAGAATGGGTTCCCGTACAAACACAACATTTTTCCTCAGACGCCATTGAGCTTGCCGATGACACCATCAGACTCCAATATGTCATTCCATGGTCTACCATCCAGTTACCCTGTCGCCGCTCCACGCTTTCAGTACTCCTGATTTCCGTCGTTCCTGCAAGCATCTTGCCTCCAGGTAAGACAGTTTGGTACAATGGCATGGAACTCTTGAATTACACTGATCTCTGGCTGCTTCGTCCTCGCATTGTCAACCACAATGGCAACATGCTGACGGATAGGAAACAACAACTCCACCTCAAGGACAGGACTGCTGAGACTTTGCGGACTCTGCCCTAAGGTATTGGAGCTTTTCAAAGCTTGTCGGTCGCAAACCATGCTGTTCCTTGTCGCTTTACCAATCGATTATATCTCGCGTGCAGTCGGACTTCAGTTACCTAGATACTGTCTGACTCTTAGAACTCCAACGAGCTCCTTGGAAATCTCCTTGGACCAACGATTGTAATGGATGAGCGCCCTGCCCTTGATATCAATACTACGTGACATCTCCAAGGTATACCAAAAGGTAAGCACAAGAATACTTAAGCAAGTATTCTTTGTGTAGTATAATATATATAGTGCCAGCCAGCTAGCTTTGCCTCTAGCTGCTGTAAGCTAGTCTGCCCCACAGCCTTGCTGTGTGCAGAGTCGTTACAACGATCGCACTTTACGACGCCAACGTTCCGTTCCTGCCCTGTTATTCACCATCGGATGATTTTTTGGACTGACCCATTGTGTGTGGGGAGACTTGGAGATATAAAGAGTAGGTCTTGTCGACCAACCATTGTCTCATCATCCCGAATCCGTCATGGAGCGTACACTTCTCATTGGCTTTACGATTAGTCATTCCTTCAGCTTGCTCATGAGCCTTTTACTCTTATACGTCGAAATCTCGAGGTGCAGATTAGAAGGAGAAACCTGCTTCGAGAAGATTTTATCCATCATCGTTGGTTTTGGTCAGGTAGCAATCACATTGGCTGCCATCACATGCATAGCGGTCACATGACCACAAAATTTCAGGTGTCTGGAGCCACTTTTCTTCAGTACCCTCCAGGCTGACGTGGCGATCAACGTATGGCGCTCCATTCATCATATATTGTCTGGGCTCACCCTTTACTTAACTTGCTCGAAACCTTCGCTATTCCGCTAGCCCAACCTGGACAACTTCATACGTATATGGAGCATGCTTGGTCACTGTAACACTGGAGTTCACATAGAGTATAAGGCAAGGCCACGGCACCCCACAGCCCAGCATCTCTTACTAACTAACAACAGGAACGAAACTTCACAGCACACTCATAAATGCACACAAACGGGCAGGCGGGAATGATCTGAGGTACATAAGGCTGTTGCTTGCGTTCGTGATCTCTAATGCGGCCGCAGCGCTTTGCCAGTTAGCCAATGGTACGATTATCTACGTTCATTTGGTCTCGAACAGGATGACTAGTGACCAACTTTATCAAAGCATGTTACTTGTATGTATCGAAGCATTTTCAGAGATATCTCTAACATGAACAGGCTTATACGTCAACTCAACTTTTGTGCCCTCTTGTCTTCTGCTTGGGCCGAGTGGCATTTCTCCGAAGGGAATCAACAAGGGCAGCTAACTCGGACAACGACGAGAGCAACATCGGGCTAAATATTCGTTGAGAACAAATTAAGGCCAACGGCTTTAATCGGTCTAAGTTCTAGATTGGTAAATAATGTATGACATGAGTTTCTATATGTATGCGCTAGATGCTACTTACATGGTGCGAGCGCCTGCATACGCCTTGTTTTATGACCCGAGCCCCCCTGCGATATAAGCACCCTTTTGCGGTTGCTTCTGTGATCCATGATTGACCAAAGAATTGCCTTGTAAGCGAAGTTGAAAGCTTGTCTGAGACACAAGTGAGCGATTTTACCAATACTCTGTTCTGAAAACGGACCTTGATGTCTTCACTTTTTTTCCAGCATATGTTGAGGTCCCTCAGCTTGAGTGTAGGCCTCGGTTATCCTGTGGAAGACATTTTGAAATACTGCCAGTGTCGATTTTTGAGATCTTTACCATCCCATAGTTCTTTTTGGTGGAAATGTCGATGACTACTTGGGCCGTCTCACTGCTGTGGAATACATGCTGTGTAGGAGAAGTGCTTCGTTCAATGTCACGTCCAATCTTTTCCACCGAATCGACATATGTTATGCAATTATTAACGTGAAGTGAACAAGTATGCAAGAATGATTGGTGATCCATCCTTTCACGGTATGTGCTCTTGTGCGTTATTTTATCTGGATCCGCGTCTACGTCACGGGAGCGTGAAGGCAAAGCAATACGTCAGATACTGAAGAAATGTCGCCTACGAACTTCTAATTTTGGCAGAAAAAGACTGCCTGCTGCGCACGAACCATCTGCCTTTTTGTGTTCATGGTCCTTCAGCTTGGCAGGCTTTCCAGGTACAAGAAGCACACCCACATCGGTAACTCGGTTCACTTGTAAACACCAGAGACATCAAAAGCACGACTACAAATTTCCTTGTATAGCGCTGTATTGTGCAAATATGGATATTCAATCTCCAAATGTTCAAGCACTGGAATTACAATCAGGCATCTCCTTGCACCAACCACAACCCGCTCAACAACCTTCACTTGGAAGCCACAAGCAGGTAGTCAAGATGCTGCTCGACAGCACGGCCGACGTCAACGCGCAGGGTGGAGACTACGGCAACGCGCTGCAGGCAGCTTCAGCTAGAGGCAACGAGCAGGTAGTCAAGATGCTGCTTGACAGCAAGGCTGACATCAACACTCAGGGTGAATACTACAGTAAAGCACTGCACACAGCTTCATACGGAGGCCACAAGCAGGTAGTCAACATGCTGCTCGACAGCAAGGCCAACATCAACACGCAGGGTGAATACTACGGTAAAGCACTGCACGCAGCTTCATACGAAGGCCACGAGCAGGTAGTCAAGATGCTGCTCAACAAGGGCGCCGACGTCAACGCGCAGGGTGGACTCTATGGTAATGCACTGCTGGCAGCTTCATACAGAGGCCACGAGCAGATAGTCAAGATGCTGCTCGACAGCAAGGCCAACATCAATGCGCAGGGTGGATACTACGGCAACACACTGCAAGCAGCTTCAGCTAGAGGCCGCGAGAAGGTAGTCAAGATGCTGCTCGACAGCAAGGCCGATGTCAATGCGCAAGGTGGAGACTACGCCAACGCATTGCAGGCAGCTTCATTTGGAGGCCACGAGAAGGTAGTCAAGATGCTGCTCAACAGCAAGGCCGACATCAACGCGCAAGGTGGAGACTACGGCAACGCACTGCACGCAGCTTCACTTCAAGGCCACAGGCAGGTAGTCAAGATGTTGCTCAACAGCAAGGCCAACGTCAACGCGCAGGGTGGAGACTTCGGCAATGCACTGCACGCAGCTTCACTTCAAGGCCACGGGCAGGTAGTCAAGATGCTGCTCGACAGCAAGGCCGACGTCAACGCGCAGGGTGGAGACTTCGGCAACGCACTGCAGGCAGCTTCATATGGAGGCCACGAGCGGGTAGTCAAGATGCTGCTTGACTGGAACGCCAACGTCAACGTGCAGAGTGGATACTACGGCAACGCACTGCAGGCAGCTTCAGCTACAGGCCACGAGCAGGTAGTCAAGATGCCGCTCGACAGCAAGGCCGACATCAATGCACAAGGTGGACTCTACAGCAATGCACTGCAGGCAGCTTCACTTGAAGGCCACAAGCAGGTAGTCAAGATGCTGCTTGACAGCAAGTCAGATTATGGTCATGGGCAGAAGAGACGTGCAAGCAATGCTTGTGAGATGGAAACTAGACTCAAGAAGTAAGATCACAGGACAGCCTGCTTGATCGAACATCTTGCTCATAAAACCAATAGATCCCGAGCCTGCGTTTTGCAGGCGCCAAACAATACCTACGAAACCCGTCAGCACATTCCTCAGCAGGCAGCTCCAACTACCATACACAGCGCAGAACCCTGGGAAGCTGAGCTGACATTTGACTCAGCTGCCTTGATCCAATCCCACGAGAAGCTTATCGCAGATCTGGAGCTGAAGGTGGAGCGACAATCGGTCGTACTCAACCATATAATGATGTCAATGGGTAAAGAGGAGATCAAGGCCATCTTCGCTCTTCGATTCTGCCAGACTCTTCGTGGAGACGCAGAAAACTGGTCACAACAGTTCAACGTGCGCCACAGTACTCAATTCGACATGCTGTGGAATCAACTTGCACTTGAGGAGGCTCCAGAGACTTTCTACTGGTGGTCATGGGGTGAGCGCATGGTGAAGATATGCCAGATCTGGCATTTCCTCAGTTTTCCAGATTGCAATCACGAGCATGACCAATCACACTCCGGTCCGCTCTGTAAGGAATGCTCTTCGCCTGATTGTAAACCAATTTGTTCAAAAGCACTGTTCCATGTCTTCATGGGAATGCTGAAGGTAATTGTCCGCCAGCAGAGGTTGAATTGACACTGACCTGTGTACAGGATCATTGCGATATATGCCACAAGAATTTCGTTGGCCCCCGAGCGCAAGAGAACAGGCAAGACTGCAAGAACAGTCACTACGACACATGGAGGGAGGTTCAGTACCCAAACAATAACTTCCAGCCTTGCAAGACTTGCGTCAAACTGGGGTGGCAGAATCAACAGCGAGCACTGCCTGTATAGTCTGTTCATCCAATACATTTTGGAAGCCATCTACGTTCTTTGATGTAACTACGCATTGCTCCTGCTCAAATAACAGAGTTGCTTCCTTGAGTTGAAGACATGACACAATCAATTAATTGCGAACTCGTGATTTACAATCATGCCCATACGCCTGATTGTGGGCATTGCTGCTTCGAAAAGTTTGGTGACACTCTTGCTTTGTCGTACATAGATGGCACGTCGTATTGCTCTGGGCAGCAATACTCACTACTACAGTCCTTTGTTGCCTTACCACAGTACTCCTGTTCTTACAATGTGTCCAGGGTCGATGGCCCCAAGCAAAGAATTTCTGATTGACAGAGAACAATCGACAATGTCTGACGGATGTCCTCTACAGAGTTCTAATTACAGAACAGTCCCGTCCAGACTCAACTTCTGCAATTCTAGTCCAGTTGGTACCTTGACGGTGGCATTGTCTATACTTTTCGTCCTTGAAAGTGAAGCCTTCAAACGTGTACTCCCACTGGCTATTCTTGCATCCTTTGTTCAGCATAACATCAACAAGCGGTGGGCAACCAGTCCAGAAGCTCGGTCCCCCAAAACATCTGAATGTAAACTGCACAGGGTCACTGCTAGGAGATTCAGAGCTATCTGGCAGGGTTTGTGTAGGAGGGTTCAGGTTCAGAAGGAATATAGGCCAAAGATTTTGAATCTGCGTAATTGGACCATCAATCCCTCGGATGTCCTGCAAGCACAAAGTTCTAATCTTTTTCTCTGGATCTCTCCAGTAACAATACTTTGTTTGTATCCCTTGCTCCCTACTAGAGAACAAGTAACAAAAGTCCTGTCCCAGAACCTCAGGCACATCTAGCCTGCTTACGGCAAGGGTGAGCTGCTCAAGCTGATACTTAGACTGATGTTCTTCCAAGCCATAGGAACTCCCCCTGTCACGGTATCCTCTCCAGATCCCCTGACAATATCCGGATCCGCTCCGTACTGCCCCTGACCGTACGCACCAAATCCCCAGCGTCCTTACGTGCCTCCGAAGCGGACGTACAACCTCCGGTCACCTCCGGAGCGGGCCTGCAACCTCCGAAGCGGGAGTATTAGAATTCTGCAAGCCCCGCTCTGGGACTTGCAACCCCGATACCTATCCAACTCAGTTCCAATTATTAACTGGTAACCGAACAAACCCACACGTAAGTATATAGACTATTGCTGGTAGAGTTCTGTTCGGTACACAACGTCTTGTACCTACTTAGATACCGTACGTAGTAATTGATTTAGACTCCTAGCGAGTCCTAAAGGGCCTACTCGTAGCATCTTCGTGACACCCCCGTAGGCTTGAGCAAAGGAGGTCATCTTCGTACTGGAGGTTGCCGTGGCGGTCAAAAGCAGCAAGCATAAGGTGAGGTCGTGATCCGTTCGTTGTGCTGCCGCTCAGGATGTCGAGATCAGTGCCAATCAAAACTATGTTTGTGTCTTATGCGCTGTTGCTCTCTAGCCAGTCTTCATTCCTGAAGACAGCATTCCACACTCTGTCGTAAGCTCTGGACTTGCATTTGAAAACAGTATGTGAGAGGGGGCCAGGTGGGGATACCAACTGCTCTCTGAGATGGAAGGATTGGTGGAAGGATGGTTCAGGCTTGTTGGAGATAAGGGTGTAGAGGAGACCAAGTGTGGGGATACCACAAGTGGTAAAAAGGATAAGTGATAAAGAAGGGATCAAGTGTGGGAATACCACAAAGGATCAGTGAGGAGTGAGTTGAGGAAGGAGTTGTTGAGGTGAATTGAAGGAGTGGATTGAGTTTTGAATTGCAAGAATGAGTTATCTAAGCAGGAGGGCAGGCTGCCTTTATAGACAGACTGCTGGCTCCTGGAATGTTCTATATACATTGGCATTTGTAATCATTTGTAATCATTTGTCAGCAACCAGAAGATTCTGTGTTGTTCTATGGGATTCCATGATGTTCCATGGGATTCTATGATGTTCCATGAGGTTCCATGAGGTTCCATGAGGTTCCATAAGGTTCCATGGGATTCCATGAGGTTCCATGAGGTTCCATGAGGTTCCATGGGATTCCATGAGGTTCCATGAGGTTCCATGAGGTTCCATGAGGTTCCATGAGGTTCCATGAGGTTCCATGAGGTGTGACTGGGTGGATTATTATTGGCTGCAAGCCATGTCAGGATGACACAGTAGCAGCACTTGAGGCCGAACATGGAAGAAGGCATGTGGTGATTTCATCCCACATCTCTTGAGATAAGTGGGGATAGGCGGGTGGTTTGCCTTTGTATGTCCGATTCATGGATGCGCTGATTATATTGAGTCAGAGACAACGAATGAGCTGGGCATGCTAGGAAGGATAGCGCACAGTCCTTTAGAGGGCATAGATACAGCCAATACTTGTATTAGGAGAGCTGCGTGCGTATCGTGACGATATATCCTTGGGTTATCCTGAGGGGCCAGCACGACAAACTGGTATAGAAAGTGGGATTTGAGAAAGGTGTGAAAGGCAGTGCTCCACGCATGTTTCTTTCGTCTCCTCTTGATGTGGCACTGGCAGCATGTGATGGTCGGACATTGGGATCGTGACCTCTATAAATAGCCAGACCAACGAATGCCGCCGTCGGATCCAACCTGTTCCGCGCCACCGGCGCGTGCAATGAGTTGCAAATTTGTGTTCTTTGTGGACTGTTTTCAGCAGCAGCAACACCGGATACGGTAGAATTAAGGATTTTTGTGGTGAGCGACCAGGAGACAGCAAGGCTTCCCGTTCGCTCAGCCCTATTTAAGCAACGTACTGGCGGATTAGTAGTTAGGTGGGTGACCACTAGCAAATACCCGCTGTTGTATGTTTTTTGCTTCCGTAGATGATACTCTTGTGCCTTCTCGTCAAGCTCGTTCGAATGCTTCAAAGGCTTTTTTTTTCCCTTTGTCACGGTTGATGATGGGCGTTGCCGCACCTTTGCATGTTTTCGAGAAGCTGGTGGCATTGTTAACATAATAATTGCAGGCTCTGTGACTCGAAGTTGTCAACGTTCTCTATGCACATGGACTCGAATGCACAACGATATCAAGCTTCGCGGCCGCTTCTCATACGTCCGGATTCTGGCTGTCGTGGCGTATTTTTGTTGTTGCTTCGTCTTCATGTCGCAGACGTCATTGGCCAGTGTGGGCGAAAAGGAGAGGAGGGGACGACCCAGCCCCAAAAAACAATGGCGCAGAGCTTTATCGACAACTTCAAAATCCATGCTGTCACGATGAGTGTTGCGCCCACTTAACGTGTGTAGTGCTGGTAGGAAACCTTCAAACGGTTAGGTCGCGTGGCTTAGCAACATTGAATGACGCATGGGCCGCCAATGACGACCGCAGCCTTGCAAAAGATCCTGCATGTCTCGACAGAACTCGTAACATGAAACTTTGACAGCTGTGGGGTCGATATCATTCCTGAACGAGTGCGGAACGTTCGGTGAACAATAGGAGCCCTTTCTTCCTGTCCTTGCTGGGAATCAACACTCACGGCTCTTTCTCGCCACGACCCTAGTACAGCTGCCAAACAGCAAAGCCAAACCGCCAGGGGAGCCCTGACGAGTGCGTGAGTACGGATCAAGATGAAGCAATCAGAAACAAAACGAAAGTGCTTATCCAGCGAACCTCTGATCGCCGGAGGCCACCAAGGCAATGCGAAATTATCCAAACCACCAAAAGTAGAGAATTTACATGAGCGGCCTCGAAACCGACTCCAAAAGCAAGGTTATGCGATTCCTTCGATGTTAACACCGTACCCTGCTCACCTTGGCTTTACAACACCCACTGCAACGCTCTACGTACTCGAGTACGAACCATACCCGTACAACACTCTCCCAAGCGAATTCCTGGGCGTTTATCTAACAGTCGACTCCGTGACAGCTGGAGCCGTCGCACATGGCGCATACACATTTTCAAGAGAAGGATTGCTAGATGGAAGTGAGTATCTGAATCCAACAGGGCGCATCAAGATTCAGTCTCAGCTGGTCCAGCAATCCGGCACAGATGCTCAAGTGTCAATCCGCAGCCACAGCCTCGATGAGAGACCAGCCAGAGAGGACGGACTCGTCAGATCGGACATACCACACCCCGACTATCGCTCCAACACACTGAGCAAGACCGCCAGACCGGACGTAGCACATCCCGGAGCCCAAAGTATGACAAGCTTGAAGATTGTCAGCAAACCGAAAGATACTGTGTATCTAGCCATTCGACGGGGACCTACTGCAGCGCATTGCTTGGGGGTGTATGCAAGGCCGAGTCTTGCATGGGGCGCATGCTTGAAGAACAAAGCAAGCTGTGCAATATCGGGCACGTTGAGCGAAGAAAGCAGGGATGTCGATGCAGATGGGATGCCACGAGCCACTGCTAGACTGCATGGGTGTGGACAGCATATGTGGTTCGTTGTCGCAAAGGAGGTGGATGCAACCGCTCGATAAGAGAAGTCAAGACTATGCCGCAGTGCATCAGGGTTCAATGACAAGAGCCATCCTTACCCACATATCGTGGCCAGGATCTGGCTACACCGTGGACCTCGAAGCCCACCGAGGTCAATCTCCGCACTCAGTCTCCGTCACCAGGAACAGAAAGCAACCGTACTGTACAGATCAGGAGAAATACCAACACCAGACTACCTAGTTGCCTACACTCCTGGCTTCGACCTACACATATCACACAATCCGCAGGCAAGTCTCAGCAAACCGCCCTTAGACGTTTGGTCCAATGGTAGGGCACCCGCGACGAGAAGCGGCGGATAATAATAGCTTGGAGACCTGCGCATGACACGGTAACGACGCCTGCAAAGGAGCCATCGACCAACCGTCTATCCAGCTGCGTAGCGGGAGACCTGAGTTCGAATCACAGAGCGTCTGCCTTTTTTTGCTCCTATGCAGGAGCGTGCTGTTGCGCCGGATTAAGTAGATGAGCTCACTTTGAGCGTCATCCGTGGTTGGCAGTGCAGTAGGCATGACAGTCTGGTGTTGGTCAGCAAGGTCACGCTCGAGACGAGCGTTCGCGACGAGCGAGGAGTGAGAGGGAGCTTGCAACGATGCTGTTCGGGAGCCGAGATATGAACCGTAGGCGCAAAGGTAGACACCTGAAACGCATTGCACGTCCCGAGCCAAAGTGCGAGAGTTTTGCAAAGCCTTCTGTACATTCCTGTGTTCATTATGCTCGTCGCATACCTGTACAACACGTGTTCGCTACTGCAAACCTAGAACAAACATTGAGATACAGGGAACAGTCTTATCAAACAAAACATCCCACCACCTCTTACAAGGACTACCCAAACAATATAGTTCTCCAATCAAACGCCAGCCCCGGTAACCGGGGCCCAGAACCTAGTTGCTCGTCACATCGTCCACATCTCAAAACCAATAAGCATCCCCACTCCTACTGATCTCAAAACTACACCCCAACCCCATCCCCTCCTCCTTCATCTTCGCCTCGCCTTCCTGCAACTGCCTGAGTATCGTATCCCCCACCAGCAGCCCATCCTCACACGTATCCTTGACATGTATAACCACGACCTTCAATCCCTTCAGCGGCGACTCGAACGCAGCAGACAGCAACGCGCGATTATGCTCTGCGCTCACACTATTAAGGTTGAGTGCCGCTGGAGCGGAGGGGTGGGAGGCGTGCGGATCATGCAGTGGGCCTGAATTGGATGTATGTGGGTGGTGAGGGTTGGGCGTGTGTGTCCCTGTAGGAGTATTACTGAAATCCGTCATAAGATCGTCGTCGGTGTGGAAATGCGGATGTGTAGACGAAAGCGGTGTATCGACGCCTTTCACACCCGAATGCCATGTGCGAGGCTTCATCGGGCCGTCGAGATGCAAGTCGCGACTCACACGTTTGCGTTTCCGTCCCTGGCGCGCTGCTTCGCGCGCTTGCTCGTGCTCTTTACGTGCTTCGCGGACCATGTCGGCGAGGTTCTGCAGTTCAGCGAGGAGATGGCGTGGTGCGAGGTGTCCGAAGAGGACGGCGTCGGCTTGCGCGTCGGTGTAGCTGCACTCAATGAAGATGCCTGTGAGGATGCCAGCGGCGATTTTGGGGGCGGCTTCCGCCCAGATGTATGCTGTGCGGGGCGAGAGGGATAGGGAGTCTGGCTCGACGTCGCCGAAGATGAGGATTTCTTTTGTTGGAGTAGTCATTGTGGAGTCGCTGCGTATGAAGAACGCGGATGAATCGACGACGCAGTGGTTTGCTGATATGCTGTTCGCAGCAACATGACTGGATCTTCGACCTTGCTCAGTACCGAATGAGCCAAGTCTTGGTGTTCCGGGCTGGCTATGTGGCACCGGCATGGAGAAGCTGTGTGAGCGTCCTTCCCAAGCCTCACCTTGGTATAGAGCTGCAGAGGTGTTTTGCAAGCCTGATGCCTCCCGTAAATCTGCGTTGGAGCCGCGGTGTACATGCCCAGGGCCCTGCATGCAGTGTCCATGACTGACTTTGAAGCCCTTTACGCCTAGGCCGTCGCAGACCTCTATGTACCCCCTTCCTTTGCCCTGACCTAAGGCTATGTTACCTCCTTCTGCAAGTCGCTGGAATGATACAAGTCCCACCCCGCCGTCCTCGTCCGTGAGATTAGGCCAAATGATGTTGTTGAAGATATGTGTCTTAATAGCGTGAACTGTGAACGGCAAAGCTGCTAATCTTTTCGGGCGCGATGTGTTATGGAAGGCCGCGGTGTTGATAACGAAACCAGAAAAGTGGTCCAGATGTGGATGTGTAATGAGGTACGTCGATACATGTTCTCTTACAACGTGTAGCGCATTGGCTCTTGCACTTGCGTTTGGGAAAGGCAGGCCAGCAAATACTCCGTCTAGTAATGTTGTTATCTCTAATGGCATGTCATCGTCCGACAATGGTGTTTCGACTCCAGAATCATCATCAGACATTGGAACATGCTCAGTCGTTGGCGACATCCCGTCATCATTGATTCGAACACCGCCGCCATGGATGCTATCCACTTTCGGCGGTGACTGGGGTCGTGGCTCTGAGACAAGCGGAAAGTGCTGTTCCAGGATTCGAGTGATCGCAGCAAGGTGCGAACCTGCATCGACAGCTAGGACCGAGTTCTTGGACCATTTGGTGGCTGTTGAACGCACGAGGAATCCGGTTACGTTGTCTTCAGTTGGGCCACCGCCTGCACCCAAGCAGATCACCTGGATAGCTGGTTCATTGCTGTGTCCGGAGGATCTTCGAACCTCCCTGTGTCCATCATTGTCCTTCATCCTCTCGGCGCTTCTTTCCCTTCTCTTCAATGCCACTGTTGCCTGTCGATCTCAACCTCTTTCGCGTGGTCGTAGATCTCTCAGCAAATCTGTCTCAGCCACAATTGATGTATCCACACTCACAGCACGTCGATTCAACGTTCGTAATAATGCCAAAGACAATAAATGTGGAGTCTCGTATCGTCGCTTGTGGTCGTTTGCCAAGTCCAGCTCTTGCCTTTAAGCCGTCTCGCTATCCACTCCCCGAGTTACAGCCGCAAACGTGAACGGTCCTTCTTCACCGTCGCGCAAGCCAAACACCTCCTTACGAGTGAGTTTCGTTGCGCGACCCGAACGCCCTCGATCGATGTCGGCGTCGCGCACGGATAGGCCGGACCCACGATCCACACAGCCCTACAACGCAGGCAGCCGGACCCTGGGTTGAGGTCGACTCGATGCAGGTGATCCGAGCTCTTGCCCTTCTCTCAGTTCAACCCAGCCTCAAAACTCAACTTGTGGCTCTGCGCTCACGCGACAACGACGATCCCCTGCGGTGCGGTCTCGGTGTGGAAATGCGCTCTGGTCAGCTCAACAAGCGTCACGCAAGGCTGCACAACGGATCAACAGCTGCGTGATAGACTTGTCCTTCAAAGGACTCTGTATGCGTGCGCGAAAGCGAAAAGATGTTGAAGACTCGAGGGACAGAGGTGTAAAGAAGTTACGCCCTTGTGTCCCGTCCCTTCCTGCGCCGTTGCGCCAACAAAGCTGCGACTGCGGTAGCTTGTCCTCGAGTAGGGCCAATCAGCGCAGGCGGGATTTGTGGGGTAGCTTGCGCCACAAAGAGCTCGCGAACGGTCGAGGTCAGATCGAGCCCTCGAGGTACCCAGACTTCTGGGATGGTAGGCTGTTACGGCAGATGAGGCTGCGATCTACAGTGGTAGTGGCATCCTGATCTTGTTGTTGTCCTGTAGGCGGTTGAGCAGAGGCCCACGCTCTACTCAGACCTCAGCGTGGGAAGGGTGGTGAAGACATTCACCACACCAAACTGCCGATGATGTAGGAACCAATGCACCAGCACCTCGTAGCGCATTTACGATCGGTGCATCTGACCATGCCCTGCACGGTCGAATGCGATTGGTGATGCGAGTGTGGGTTAAAGGTACGACTTCCTGCTGTGCTCGTCATTATCACAGGGCGCCTGATGGAGTGTGGGCCTTCGAGTCCCCGATAGCTGCGTTGAAAGTCGGTCCTTTCAGTTGACAGCTGCATCCTGAGCCTTGGCTTGAAGTTAGCTTTGCGGTGAACGTGCAGTACATGTAAGACTTGCGGCTGAAGAGAGCGGCCAATTGACGATGCAGAGAAGAGCCCTGATGTAGGGGAAATTCTTGGATGTCGATGCGGGGTAACACATGCAAATCATCACATCGATGCGAAAGAACAAAGTTTGGACATCGTGAACATGTGCTTTTTTGCTTCTATGTTCGGGCCATAGTGGTCTTTTTGATCCACTATACCCATCCATCATCCCTCATACCCCTTGGTTCCAGGTCATAAAATCATCCGCATCATTAACACAACGAACACCACAGAAAAGCAAGGTATTTACTTGAAGACCTTGCCGTCAGCCCACTCGTAGGACTTGCCGTTGACCTCAATGGGCTTGTCCCAGGACCACTGGTCCTCGACGAACTTGCGGTCCTCATCCTTGGTGGGGTCGAGCTTGGTGAACTCATAGGACTCGTAGTCGGGAGCGACATCGAAAGCGGGAAGAGCCTCCTGGCCGCGAACGAGGAAAGCACCCTTGATGATGGAGTCGTTGGACTGGCCGTAGACGGAAGTGCAACCAAAGAGGTACTTGCGGGAAGCCTCAAGACGGGCGAAGAAACCACCAATCAGGTTGGAGGTCATGAAAGTGAGGGTAAGCTCGTCGTTGTACTTGTAGTCAACCGTCCAGAGAGAGTACTCCTCGAAGTTAACGTTCTCCCAGAACCAGGGGAGGGCAACCTCGCGGGTCTCCTCGTTGGAGTACTTGCGCTTCCAATCGTCAAGGACGAAGGTGGCGCGGGGAAGAGACTCAAGAGGGTGCTTGGGCTTGGGGGCAGCGGGGGCCTCCTCTTCCTCCTCGGGCTCAGCAGCCTTGGGCTTAGCGGCAGCCTTGGGCTTCTCGGCCTTAGGGGCCTGCTCCTTCTTGGGGGCAACGTTCTTGATGGCCTCCTCGATGAACTCAAGCTTGCCAGCAACAGCGGAGTAGCTGGGGGTGTTGTAGACGGTCTCGTACCAGCGAGTAACGTTGGGGTTCTCTGACCTCCACTTCTTGTCGAAGAAGTACTGGAAGCCACGGGCAATGATGCTGGCGGCGAACAGGTCGGCAAGAGTCAGACGCTCACCGACGAGGTAGGTGTGGGTGAAGAGGTGCTCCTCGAGGACGTGGACGGCCTTGAGGGCAGCCTTCTGTGAGTCATCGACGTTCTTCTTGTTGTAGGGGTCACGGCCGATGATGGGGCGGAACCAGCCACCGAGGGGAGTGAGGACCTCAGTGTTGGCGAAGGACATCCATCGGAGGATGGTGGCGTAGTCCTGCTTGGTCTTGCCAAGCAGGCTGGTCTTCTCGTTCTGGGAAGCGACTGGGAGATGTCAGCGACTGAGTCACTACGAACATGGTAGAAACTGAAGACGTGCCGCCAACGTAGATCAGGAGTTTACTTTTTTCAACAGTAGTTTTCAGACAGGGATAACTGAATGAATAACATTCGCACATCATACAACGCCATAGGAAGGGTATGCGGGGTACTCACGGTAGACAGCGATAGCGATGGTCTCAGAGAGAACGAAGCCGTCAGCGCCCTCGAAGGTAGGGACCTTGCCGAGCTTGTTGATCTTCAGGTAGTCGGTAGAGACGCCCTTGGCAGGCTCGGTGTCGACGAACTCGATGTCGAGGCCGTTCTCCTTTGCGACAGCAAGGAGGGAGGTGGTGCGCGGGTTACCCTGTTGGTGGGCTGTCAGTTTTGGTTCCCTCCCAAGTTTTGGCACAAATGCGTAGGCGGAAAGCCACTTACGCTGTAGCTGTAAATCTTTCCGAAAGACATGATTGCTGGTTTACCGTGGGCGAAACTGTACAATCAAGGAAAACAAAGGCGTTGGAGGAAAGAAAAAAGGGTGTTTGGCTCGAAGTGGGGGTGGTTTGGTTTTCGCTTTCCTCTTCGCGCTAGGCGCAAAACTGTCTAGCGTCAGGAAGGCCCAACCTTGGCGGAGATTTTGGAGCAGCATCGTGCAGGCCATCAACAACTGTGGTCCGTTAGCAGCACCCACGCGCACTTCAGTTCGACTACACGGCGCAATGGTGTGCAGGAAGTTCGCGCAAAGCCTCTCGAGGGCCGTCGACACATTCGGAAGCCAATCGTGGACACAATGCGCGCGGACAGCACGACGCAGCCTGCAACCCCCGACATCACGATGCATCTCCACGACTGTATCGAGGCCTGCCGAGATCGAGACTGAAATTCAGGAGCCGTTCACAGCCGCAAAGCCGTTCGACTTTGAGGCTGAAATTGGAAGGAAAGACGGTGGAAAGAAGGACGGCAAGAACATCCTGCGGACACTGCGCGTCGTGCCTGCATCGCCTTCCTACTTCAGCGCAAAGCCTACTTTCACCGACGACTTCCTCTCGCTCTCCGCGCTTCTCCGCAAAGTCGCTACCCTGCCCACAATACCGAACGCCGAGGCACCAAAGGTCGCATGGAAGACTGTCGAGCAGTACCGCATCATGACCAACGAGCCTGTCAAGACCCAACGCTTCCATAAGATGCTGCACATTCTACGGAGATTGAACTGCATCCACCCACAGCTGATGCCTGAGGAGGTTGTAGAGGCGATGAAGCGCTACAAGAAGCCTAGCCAGCCCGGCGACGTCAAGCCGAAGCCTGGTGTGATCGATGAACTGGGCAGGGCTAAGGGTGTCGGGCGAAGGAAGACATCTTCTGCGGTCGCATGGCTTGTAGAGGGCGAGGGTGAGGTGTTGATCAACGGCCAATCCCTTACTGAGTTCTTTGGGCGACTGCATCACCGAGAGAGCGCTGTATGGGCGCTGAAGGCTACCCAGCGACTCGACAAGTACAACCTGTTCGGTCTGGTACAGGGTGGTGGATCGACCGGTCAGGCGGAGGCCATGACGTTGGCGGTAGCGAAGGCATTGTTGGTGCATGAGCCGGCGCTGAAACCAGCTCTGCGACGAGGTGAGTTGAGCAACTCTCTACCCTGACCCTGTTCACGTCCTAGGTTCCCGTTCTTCCTTCTCCATACGCTCTTGTCAGGGATCACATGCACATGACACAAGTCCACGTAGAATCTTCATGCAGATCTTCAAGCCATCAACATGTCACACAGTCGAAATGCAATGGCTAACTCTTGCACAGCTGGTTGTATCACTCGCGACCCGAGAAAGGTGGAGAGGAAGAAGCCTGGCCACGTCAAGGCTCGCAAGATGCCTACCTGGGTCAAGCGTTGAGGTGGAACCTCCTTGTACATTATCATGTATGTCTTCGTACTTGTTGGCATTTAGCGTAGTCGAATGTAAGATGATCCAGGTGGCTAGAGCGCATGGTGCGAAACTGGTAGATCAGTCAGAACTGTGTATACCCTGTCGTATTTAGGCGTTATGTTGGCTCTTGTACAAATTATCGACGAGCACTGCGCCAGTGTCGCCCAAGTGGGCTCTGGATGGTCAGAGCAAGAGCAAGTACACATTGGGCAATCGAGCGGTCGAATCTCGCTGCGATCAATACGTTCTGTAGATTGGTGATGAGCAATAGGCAACACCCTCTCGATTCTTTCACCACGTGTTCAAGGCGGAAAATCTTTCATGCTTGTGTCGCGTGTTCGAAGGAGTCGTCTGACTGAAGAGGATGCCTGCTGTGCAACAGGTACCCGTTTGTGCACCTCAGAGTTGTCGCAAGGTACCGACTGCCAGGATACGAGGTCGAAACAGTTCGTGGAGTCGTTTCATAATATGTTGTGAGCTTGTAAGAGCCCATTTCCTGGAATGCGGTAAAGCAAACCGTTGGTACCCGGTGTTCATCTTTTTGACACCTCGGATTCGGTTTGCATTCTGCATCAAGCTTGACAGGGTTTGCGGGAGTGTTGCTGCAAGAGGCTGCCTGAAGCTTGGCAATCTTTCGTGTTGCAAAGCGGAGGTGGCTTGCAAACGAGTTGATAAAGAAGGGCTCGCATGACAATGATCCTTCATGTGCTATTTGCGTTCGACTTCCCCTTTGTCGTGCAGCTGACGTTGAGTTGGATGTCGATCGAGGTTTATCACTGGCTGGATGAATTCGTACCGATCCAAGCGTCCGTTGTCCGAAACGGGTACGAAATTTGACGGAACGTAGGCGAACACATCATGCAGATCGCAGATGAGCACACCTCACCTTGCGGGCGTAAGCGAACGCGTTGCCCACAAATCGATCTCACGAATGGTACACACGGTACTTCGCGGTGGCCAACATCGTGAGTGCATTTGACTGGGATGTGAGAGTGGAACTGGTGTCGCAAACCGTAACACAGCCGTGGATGCGGGATTGCGAGTCGTTCTGCGATTGCGCCAATTGGAGATTTTCCGTGTTGCTACACTTGTCGTCATTTCAATTGATCTTACTCGTGAGGATTTCGCTTGGATGCATCTCGTCAACGGCAGCGGGTAGGGCGGAAACAGCCTCAACGGCGAAGACGATTTGTCCAGCGAGTGCAGGCTAGTGACGCATTGCGGCTTGAAGCGGACAAGTACCAGATCAGCCTCGTCTCTCAGCCTGATAGAGTTCAAGAGCACTCACAGACCTCACCTCTCATGGGCTGCCACAGCCAATCTGACTCGCAAGCCGGTAGGGCTGTCGGTCGGTATCGCGTTTGCAAGCCATACGAGGGTCAGTGTGTACTTCTCGAACGAAATGAAACCTTCTCGAAGCATGTTCGCCATGATCCTGTGTCATTTTCACAACGCATCGTTGATACGGGAGCCAGGGTCGCCAGATGATCGCCATTGAAAACGAGTGACGCACCTCGGCCGTGGGATGCCTGTACACTAGGCCGGGTATCTCGAACGACGCTTGTTTCATTTAGCGGTTGTCTGCGTCTACAGCAGAGTGCACACCGCACAATGGGGTTTCCGTTTGCTTCCAGAAGGTTACAGCTGCTGGCACGTGAGTAAAGAACGGTGAGAGCGGCAGCGAGCAGCCGGAGCCAAGGACAATGAGTCGTGAGAGTGTTGACAGTGCTCTCCTCAGCGTTGTCGAGCGAATTATCATGTGTCGAAGCTGGCGTCGCAGGACGGTCTGGGAGCTGAGGTTGGAGAGATGACGGCAGCGTACAGGGCAAGAGCCAGTGACACATGCAGGAAGGAGCCTCCGACAGCTCGCTTGGCCTGCTGCCGCTCTACTGCATATCACTGCAACTCCAGTACTTCGCAGGTATTGTTCGCGAACTCTGCGATCGCGTGCGGTAAACGTTACATCAGCACTTGTTGTTGTGCGGAGGGGAAAGGGAAGGGCTTTCTGTGCGATCGACGAGTGAGGCTGGAGCAGGTGGATGATCGCCCATGCACGCATCCTTGCCGAACCGCAGCCCGCATAGAGAGCAATGTCCTGTTCGAGGTAGGACGCTGCTCGAAATGAACGCCCCTGAGCACGTCTGCCAGAGCAAACGACGGTAGTCGTCGCGCAGAACACTGATGGGCAGTGCTCTGACGCCAATTCAGGGACCGCAAAGCAGTGAACAGAACTGATGCCGCAGAGGTTCGACAGACGTTTGATGATTTGGCAGCAGAGAAACGAATCAGCCGTGCGTTCGCAGCCTAACGCTCGCGTGCATGAAACACATTTGCTACAAGCTTGGGTACCGCTGTCGACTGGCGGTCAGCGCGTTGGCAGCGAGCATTGAGCCTCCTCTGGGTCTCTCTGCTACTCAGCTGGCGATGCTCACGCATCGTTGTCACTGGACTGCCGCCAAGCGAGTTTGAAGGTGTTCCCAGGCCCAGCAGCACGGCGACATTTGGCCGTAGTGGAGCCGCGCAGGGCCGAGTGAACCAGACTTGCGCGTGGAAAGATAATAAATGGCGATCTTGCAATTTTGGCTGGCAGCGCGCAGTCTGGTTGACAGCATGTGGTGGGCACGCTGCTCCCAGAGCGCGACCAAACCAACAGACGCGGTGATGCCCTGCAGGAATGGCTGCCCGGTCGCAGATCCACCAGGGCGATCTGTAACTATGGCTTGCAGGGATGACTATGAGCCTGCTAGCCCCGCCCAAGGTCCATCTCGGAAATCGGAGACGGAGACTTTGAGGTACGCTTGAGAAACGGTGTCATCCAGAGCTCATCGATCAAGCCTCCTTACTCGTCAGCCCTCACCCACTCGGCGCGCAGCCGCATCCACTCTTCAGCACGCAGAGCGGGACCCCAGCGCGGCCTGCTTGCAGTCCTGGTGTCTCTCTAGCTCGTAGACACCCCGGCCCGTGTATTTACATTTTGTTTCGCCGGCGTGGCGTGTTGGCGAGTTCCTTTTTGCTTCCCACATTCGTTGTTTGTTGATACTCTGAGCCCGCAGCGCTCCCAATGTGGCTTTGCGCCCTCACTTCACCAAGCACCGCGCCTTACAGCTACCCCAGCACGGAAGCACATCCCCCCACTCTATTCTCGCCCTGTACAGCTTGGGCCTCTGCCGGACGTCTGCTCTGCGCGGCCGTGAGCCGACATCGAGCTCCTCGTCAAACGACTGCTCGCAGCCCGTGACGCTGGTCGCCTGTGCCGTCACCACTTTCATTTGAAGCTCACCACGCCCGTTTGTCTTCCTCTTCGAACAGCGAGCGAGCACCGATTTAGCCATTGTCGCACTTTCCGTTTGGTCTCGGACCGACTGCTTCACTTCCCTCCTGCAATTGCAGTGCGCCGCCCAGTGCGCAGGCAAGCGTCCAAGACACTGCCTGTATTGGTATCGTGAAGAGCACCAGCACGCGTTAGAGCCGTTAAGCTACCGGCTGCCGCAGACGTTTAAGCTGTTTGAGACGATCTCCTAGAGGGGCCCTGCTCTTCTCCCGACTCGTTGAAAATTCAATTGCGCGCAAGGACTGCCCTTCAAACACCGCACGCGCTCGCCGTGCTTCACCACCAGAAACCACCGCTCGTAGGGTTCTCCACGCTTGCTTTTGCCGGACCATTTCTGTCAATTAGTGGCTACGTGTCTAGCTGGCCCACATTTAGACTCGCCTTTTCTCCAGCATTTCCACATCGGGACCAAGCATTCCGGGTTTTGCCAGTCTCACTGCCATAGATCCTCGTCGCAGCCAGACGAGGATACCCCGGGCACATCACGCGCGTCAGTGAGGCTTCTGCCCGCAGCTACTTTTTTTGCATCATCGGGCTCCATTGGCAGACCTGTCGACGCGCCAGGATTGAGTGTATATCATCCATCCGCCTGTAGCTGCGACCATTCTGGCTCATTCAATTCGGACGTCACCCCCCCCCCCCAACCTTGGAACACCATCTCCTCTTGACCGTTGACTCCTCCTGCACGGCTTTCCATTCGGCATAGCTCTTGCTGTCACCTCCAAGACACCTCACCTATTCCAAGCCCATCTTATCTCGACTCTCGCACCCTTCGCAGTCTTATTCCAAGTCTGCAAGCTGGCCAACTACGCGACGCCACCAGTCTCGCCCTTAGGGTACCGGGCACTCGAACCGCCCTTCAGTCTGCAGCTTAAAGGCCGGCTGGGTGGGATGGATAATGACCGTCGGCCGCGGCAGAACCCCTCAGGTTACGCGAGCCAGCAAGGCACACTGCTTCCACCGCAGAGCTCATATCCCGTGGTAAGCGCATCCGATCGCTTCAGGCAGGCGCCCTTGACTGCACCTGCCCCACCCACATCTGCCCCCTCGTCCGGCAGCCGCCCAAGCTCGCAGAGTTACGGTTACGCTTACGGGGAAGGCTCACAGTTCGTCGGCTCGTCGATCCAATCCTCGGGCGTGTCCTACGGCGCGCAAGGCTACAGCCCAGACCAGCAACCGCAGCAGCAGCGTGCAGCGCAGCAGCAGTACTCGCCCTATGGCCAGAACGTCATGTACAGCGTGCCTGGCGCGCAGGGTTCTGCGACAGGGTCGTCACCATATGAGCCTGTGGAACCGTACCAACAAAACAGGGACTCGGCAATAGAAGTCCTCAGCACCGGCTTTGGGGTCGCACAACCGCAATACTACAATGTGGCCGGCGAGGGTGGTCCCACGAGCGCGCCTGCCTCTACCATTGCAACTCAAAACGTCCCTTCTCAGTATCCCCCGCTAGGATATACAGCGCAGCAAGCCCCGGTCGGACGAGAACCGCTCGCGCCCGCATACACCGCCGGCGGCATGACAGATCCACACCAAGCCACCGCTCAGGCCGGCTACTCACAGCAGAGCAACTATAGCGAGCAACACGGCAGCAGTAACGAATACGACGACTTCTACAACAACTATCAGAGCGAGCTGAAGAAGACATTCCAGTTCGTGCACGATGGGCGCATCAGCGAGGCTGGCGCGCAGCTACACAGGCTGTCAGAGTGGCTGCTGCATTGGGCCGAGACACTGGGTGAGTTACCTCGAGAGCACAAAACGGAACGAGCAGCTGAATTGACTACAGGCCTAGTGCGCGACGACGAGACCCACTACGCGCAGCGCCTCAAGCTGTGGGAAGAGTTCAATACCTGCTGGCTCTCGACGCTCCAGAAGCAGAAGACCATGACCCAAGAGATGATGAACACTGGTCAGCGACCGCAGCCGCCGCAAACGCTCATCGACTACGATTACCTCGAGAAAATGGGCACCCAGCTCGTGAAGAATTGCGATAACATGGAGAAGCACGGTCTGGTCGACTACCAGATGGGCGTGTGGGAAGAGGAAATCATAGCGAGTTAGTGTCACGTCTCCCACGTTTAGCATGTTACTAACCACCAACAGTGTTGACCTCTTGTCTCGACCTGCTCGAGGAGGTGGGCGCCGGTTCCTCTGCACAGCGACCCACCGCAAATGCGCGCAGACGTTAAAGACACCGCGCAACACCCACAGAGGCTTCTGCGTACCAGCAGCTTATGCACTACCGTCTATTGCAAGGCCCATAGCCCCGCGTGCATGACGTCTATATCCGCCTAATACTTCGACTGTGTGATCCGACACTTGTTCACGGGCATTGTCCATTTTCTTCTGTACATCTTATGAGTATGCAGCATTTTGGTCTTCTTCGTTTTCCTTTTCTCTGGTTTCTTAGACTTCGATGGGCGCCGCTACGGCAGCGGAAACTGTTCCGGGCGGCTATCTGCATATGGCTTTTCTTGCATCAATTGTATTTGCATTTGCGGGTCTCGCGCTACTTCACCGAGCGCTCTCGCTACGCGTTGCATTACCGCTTCTTCTTACCGCTTCGTTTTGTCTTTTTCTCCACTTCGGACCATGCCAAGGAATGGTGTTCGCACCTATTTGTCTGGGTTATGGGATGAGTGGGTACGATAGTTAGGGTATAGGGCGCTGGCAAGAACAAAAGGGCATGTGTGGATTTGGTACTTAGGGTTGTTTCTACAGTGGGGTTGGATAATGCGGGCATTGAAAGGCCTGCGCAGGCGCTGGTCGGTCTACGGAGTCTACGATAATGAGTGGGGAAACGAGTAGGATGATGGCGTTGTGGAGACTGGGCATAGCGGCATGCAGAAAGTCACCGGTACGTCAATGCTCAGCTGCAGCTTCCGGTGGCCTCGAACTTTGCAGCGAGAGTGTCAGGAAGGTATTCGACAACAGCTCTCCGCCCAATATTGGGTGGCAATGAACATTCCTTCGCTCGTGCCCAAGCTTAGAGGCGTGAACCATAGATGCCAGGGATTGTGGGGTTGTTGTGTCTGATATGACGGCATGAAGCGCATGTTTGGGCTGCACGGTCGGGCAGCAAATGTACCATAGATGATTTAGTACCATAGACACTTCAATGCTTCATTGCAACCTTTCTTGATAGGCAACGCTCTTTCCAAATTTCTTTGTGCTCCTGGCCTCAGTGCCGTGTCCTTGTGTGAAGTGCCGTCGTCGCCCCTTCCTTGACAGGGTTCGTGATCCTCCTCGCCTCACTACCTCAACAACGCTCCCTTGCAACCTGACTGGCAGCCTCACCCAACCGCAGCCTCGTAATATCTCCAGAAGTTCATTGAGATTGAGGCGTCATATCAGGCATCCGACCCCACGCCATGCACTATGTGCATGCCGGCGACCTGAACCTGGCGTTTCTGTCAACAGCGAAAAAGCAAGCAACGTCCCCAACCAGACCCGCGGAAACATGATCGACACATGCTTTTCCTACCAGGGGCAGTTCGCCAATCTCCAATGATCCGCTGCGAGCTGTTAACGATTTATCACATCTAATCACACTGCAGAAGCGGAGCCCATCACAATGGTGCCACGTGATGCTGGCAGCCGTCTTTGGACGGCGATCATCTCAGGCGCAACGAGGGCGCAGCATTCCCAATACATTGAGGATTGCACCGAACGCAATTGCACGCAGCCGAACATGCGCTCGACACGTTCATGGCTGTTCATCCTGTACCCCATGATTACGCATGGCTGCTGTGACACGACACGACCCCGCACCAACAGCTTTCGACAAAAAGCAACTTGAGCTGCACAGCTTCTACCAGATCACTGTCCTATTTTCAGGAACAACCCTTTCATGCGACGAGTACTCAGCCGCATGCGCATGTCCGACCGCGTCGAATTGCATCGAAAGACTGAGTGATCGCCCTCCCTTCCACTAGCGCAGATCCCTTCAAAGTGGAGACGAAACATTTAGCCGGTCGTCTCCGGATCCTTGGAGCACGCCTGCCATCACGCCGCAGCTGACAGCGGCTGCCTACATTTCATGCCTTGTCACATATGAGAGGCACCCATGTATCTTGTACTCTTGCGCGGACTGTACCCGCGGAACACAGATGCGCACACGTGGCCTTCCGCAGCATCCGCTGCTTTAACCAAGACTGACTCAAAGATAGACCGCCAGTTGCGCTTGGTGCGCATTCTTGAGTATGTAAGGACGCGATACCAGACTTTGCAAAGCTAGTCTTCACTTCCCTGATCTGACGTTGTATTCATCTGACTCGTGTTCAGGGAGATTGGGGTTCGTGCAACCAGACCAGGGTACACTTACACATGCAAGGAGTCGACCACCCTCTACGATGGCCCCGGTCATTACTATGCCAGCTATTAGCATGTTGTGAGAAAAGCTGTCAGTCCACTTTCGTTTGTTGAGCGAGGAAATTGTGGCTACGCAAGGTCGGTGGCACGGAAACCTGCGCTATCGAGGCTGTCACTGCAACTATCCTTTTCGCTGTTGTGCTCGCTCGGCGTCTGACGGAGAACGCCGCCACTATACGATCTTGCCCGGTATACATCATTACTTGCGCATGGGTATACTAAGGCCCACCAGCGACTCGGGCACGTGAGACGGTGAGATATCTGAATGTTCTCATGATTGATCTCATACTGCACTGTCACGCAAAGCCTATCTCAAAATCAACTGTTTGTACGAGTACGATGGCAAGGTAAACCTCAGTAGCACAGCCATGGGTACGTGCATCACTTGGGTTAGCACAGCAGTTTTAAGATGCGACACTTGGATGACAGCCTCCATCTCCGCGCCTCGTGCTTCGAGCGTGGCAGCCATCAACCCACTTCTTGGCCATACTCTGTCCACGCCTCAAGCCAGTCACATCCCAATATACCTTTGACCGTCATACAAACCGGACTTCCGCTCTCTCAGAGTTGCGCAGACAGTCAAGGCGATACCGTCTCATATCCGTGGGACCCTGCTGTAGCACATTAGTAGTCGCATGATGGGTGTTCAGCACAGCAGACAAGACAGCGGGTATCACGGCGTTGGTCGATCAGTCACATCATGTTATCGTGGGTCAGTAGCCAACCACTTACCGATGCTTAAGGCAGCAAATGCATTGCGGCTACATCGGGTTACTCACACTGTCATGAAGCTCCACCCTCTCAACTTTTTCGCTCTTCTTGTCAACAACAAGATGCCGGTTCTCATGCACCTCATACGAGTTGATAACAGTAACATTGCAGCAGCACTGCCCTAAGTAATGTCAAGCCCTTCATGTCTGGCCTTGCATTGACCACAGAACCAAGTACTTATCATCCATCGCCTCATTTCAGCAAGAACTAGTCGCTTTTTCTCAACATTACTTGCAATGTTCTTGATCCAAAATGGTAGAGGCCCGCAAGTAGCAAATCTCACAACAAGAAGAAGCAGTACGAAGCCTGAAATGTTCTCATCGTCATATTTTGACGTCCTTTAATATGACCTAAAAGGGCTGTAAAGCTTTCCACGTTGAAGAGACGAGAGTCGAAACATTCCAGAAGGCATCTCATTTCTGCATCCGCGTCGTTCTGTGACTTTCATCATTGAAAACTCGATTGCGATGACAACATGTTGCCTTCTCACAAGTGCTCAGATCTGGAAGGTATGAGGTTCGCGCGTAAATCCTACCTTCGCGTTCGGTATATGCGTGAGCCTGTGCACTTGTGGTACACAAAGTCTGTCCGTCCAATCTAGAACCCGGTACAACCTTCCACTTCTCAGTTGAGAACATCCAAATGATAGCCTCCGGCGATATGTGTGGGTGACCACACAAAATCTGGAAGTACAAAGTCATGTCTTTCAAAAAGGTTGAGAACAAGCGCCTGGATGTGTCCGACAATTCGCTCAAAACTCTCAAGATACATTCCATCACACACATGTTGCAAGCTGCCCTTGGACGCTATGATCCTCATCCGCTTATAGTATAAGGATCCAGGCCCTTTTTCTCGATCCAATATGCAACTTGTACCGGAGTACCATAATGAAACTTAGCGTATCTGAAAAGCAAAAGTCCGGATAACATGACTCCTAAAATCCGCCAGGCAAGCTTCCCATCCATGGCTAGTGAGCAAAGTGTGTCATACTGTTGAATGTCAGTTCTTTGTCGTCCATGAGGAATGGTCAAAGCAAACTGCAGAGCCACGGTGCGATACATGTAACGAGACACTGATGAAACCGAACTACAGACTCCAAAATCACATGTGTGCAAGCATGCTCGTCCGCTGTTACACAAATGCTCTTTTTCCTTCCGTGAGGCAAACTTCATTCTTCACCATTCTACCAAAACCATGCATCTGTTTTACATGATCCGAAAGACCGTTCCGAGAATGACCGACAACCACATCGCATGCCAGTCCAAATCTTACTCAAGCATATTGGATATTTGGTAATTGTTACATCAGCACACAAAACAAGACAACACGCACCCCTGATCTTGTTTGATGCTCAATGTCTCGTCTAACAACTTCTTCATGAATTCAATTCATTGCGAAAGACCGTGAACGCACAGCCATGCTGTGTGAGCAGAGACCTAAAGGAGGCTGAACGACTTCCATGTGAGGTCCGCTGGGGCCTGGGCTATTTAGCTAGAGTTCCGGTGCTGCGGTATCATTCGAGAGCCCCAGTGATATGTATACCTATCTCTCCACTCTGACACGTATCCGCACACATCATCTGTATCTGATTCTAAAAACAGTGGTCCTCAACGTCATGACCGCCTAAAAGCGACCCAACAAGCGGCCACGCTGTCTGAAGTTGAGGGTCTCCAATGCTATGTTCGAAATTTCTCGAGAAGAATATACAAAACACCGAAAGTGTTCGCGAACGACGACAAGCCATTCCATCCGGCGGTCCCATCTTCACAAGCAATGCACAACCTGTTATCCTGAGCAAGAAGAGAGCCCAGACTAAAAGCAGTTCTGACGATGAGAATGTCCCTGTTTGCGTTATTTTCGCTTGTCATCTGCCAGCACGGACGCATATTTCTTCATGGAAGAAGACCTGTGCAAAACATGTTCAACAAGGAACATCGATCTACACCAAAGCCTAGCTTGCTTGGAACCAATAGTTAGTGGCCTTGACGAACCACAAAGGTCCAGTTTGCTGCTTCTGACAAGGTACAGTCCTTCCTTCCACTGCTATACTGCATTGAGAAAAGAAACCTCAACACCATGCATGGTCGGAAGAGCAACCAAAGTTCTCCGCTACGCCAGCCTTATGGTGTCGAAAAGAGACTGGTGGCAATCATGTCATCTCCCAACTACGTGGGCGCGCGTCGAGATCCGAAAAAAGCCGGAGCGATTCGGATGGTTGTTTGCATCACCTCTCGCGAATGTCAGTCTAAGAACGGATTACTGGGATAGCATGTTGAGCTCTGGCTGCCGAGTGGTATGGATGCTCGTTCAGTGCGGAGGAAAATGGGACGTTACCATGTCCCGTGTCGAGAGAGGGTGCTGCTGGCGTCATTACTATTAGGACTGTGGCTAACAAGCGCAGATGCTATTGCATGGTGTTGTACATGTCTATCGCGCCCTCGTACCAGGATTAATTGTTCCTCTGGCTTTTCGCCTTCTCCTTCTTCTTCTGCTTCTTACTCACGCCCTTCCCTTGCTCATCCTCGGAACTCCTTTTCCCATTCGCATTCACCCCGGCCTCTTCCTTTCCCTCTACTTCATCTTCAACCTCCTTGACCAGCAGCTCATTGAGCGCTTCGTTGTACTTCTCCAACTCAATGATATCCTTCAACTTGACGCGCATGTAATCAAACGCAATTGCAACTTTCATATCCTTATTCCTGACCTTAATGACCCTCCCATTCTCCGCCAAAGGAGAGGCCTGATGGACCAGCTTCGGCGGCTGCGGAACTGCGGGCCCGGCGGGCGGGGGGCGAATGTCGGAGTTCTGCATTGTGGTGTCGGTAGTAGGGTCCATATCGTCTGCTTCTGCGTCTTCGGTAGCTGCGATCAAGTCTTCCTCGGCTGATGCGCTCTCGCCGTCTTGTACGGTTTGTAGGACGGGAATCTTCTGATACCGCTGCGAGAAGTGTGTCAACACAACAGCCTTTGCATTCATCCGCGCCCCAATGCCCAGCGCTTCAGAAGTGGTGCTGTGTTTCTTCGCGCGCGCATCGCCTGCGAGTTCGTCGTCGAAAGTCGCTTCGTGGATGAGCACGGTTGTATCCTTGCCGATCTTGCTGAACGGCTGGGAGGGGCGGCAGTCCCCGGAGTACGAAACTTTCAAAGGCTTTACGTTGTGGTCAGATGTGGAGGGAGGGAAGGTGATGCTGACGGCCATGGCGCCGTGGCAGTGTGCCACGCGGACGGATTGGATGTCTGCGAAGCCGAAGAGGGAGGGGTAGTCTTGACGGGCGATTCTCAGGTCTCCTGATGTTGTTTTGCCGTTTATAGCGAGTATGGAGCCGCCGACACCGATTGTGGCGGGGGTGATCTCGAGAGGGAGGATGCGCGAGTAGCCAAAGTCCTCGATGGAGGAGTATTCGCGCAGCCACTGGAGCATGCCGTCGTGGGAGATTACTGAGAGGCCGAAATCGTCGACGTTGCTGGCGGCGGTTGCGGCGGCAGGAAGCGAGGGGTTGGGCACGTTGTTGTGTTTGATGTGGTACCAGGCTTTGATCACGGAGGCAGTGCCTAGGTGGTGGTCTGCGTGAAGGTGGGAGATCCAGATTACCCGCAGCTTCCTCAGAATCTGTGTGAGCTCCTCCGGCGGAAACACTCTCTGCAGCTGGCCCATGGTGTTCTCGCCGGCGTCGAAGAGGTAGTTGCCGACACCTGGTACGCGCACAAGGGTGGCAGAGACATTGCGGTACTTGGAGGGAAGCGCTGAGCCTGTGCCAAGTGTGGTGATTTCCGTACCGGGATGGGCCAGAAGGGCTCGCCATGGCTCATACTCCTTCTGGGCATCCTGAACTGCCTTCTGCGCAGCCCTAGCTAGCTCCAGGACCTCTGGTGCTGTCTCTTTCTTGACCGCCTCGGGATCGAAGTGTGCTTGCCGGGTGTCGGGCTTCAAATCGAACTTTGGCATCAGGGTGGCGGAAAGGCCTCTGTCAGCGACAACGGCGTTCTCGGGCAAGGTGATCGTCTGCTGCATCTGCTCTGATTCTGAAAGCTGCTTCTGCGGTAGACTTGTAAGATCGTACTGAGGTACTTGGTATCGAGCGGGGTCGACCTGCGCCAGTCTTGTCGTCTGGCCAGCTACAGAATCGAATGCTATACGATTAGGAGTTGCGTCTGCAGACGAGATGATGTGCTTGACACTGTTGAATTTGCTCATGAACGCGTTCAGGGTAGGATGACCAGCAACCCCCGAACCAAGCGTCCAGATGAAGCCCTCAATGCCCTTCATCAGGTCAGCGGACCTGAACTCCTCTCGTTCAACGACAGCTTCCAGATAGTCGACGGAGGGGATGTCCAAGAGAGCAAAACCTTGGCCGGGCCTATCTGGTCCAAGAACCTGATCTGGGGTAACGGTCTCTCCGTTCACGTTCTGTACAGACTGGCCGTTGCTGAGCTTTCCAAAATCCGGACCTTGCTTGACACCGAGCTCTTTGGCGCGTTTGACATCGAACGAGCCGCGAGCAGGGTATGTGCGCACGATGTACGAGATGCATTCGGGCGCGGGTCTTGTTGGCGGCAGAGACATGATCTTCGCGCCAGGCCAGGGTGTACGAGTCCACACCATGATGTCAGGTAGAGGTTCTTGGCCGCCTGGCTTGGGACCTGTGTACGGTTTGTAGCCGCTTGCATCCGCGTTTCGCACGAACAGAGCTGTAGGCATCTCTACCTCGGAGATGTGTCGCTCGACAAGCGTATCGAAGCTCCAGCTGGAGTCAAACATGTGCTTGACGGTCACACTGCGAATGCGATCGTGCCGTATTTGGCGCTCTTCTGCAGTCTCGTTGTCCGGCGCCTGGTGGTCTTGGAAGGTGTTGCCGCTCAGCTCCCAGCGACGAATCTCTTCCTCCAGATCTGCGTCCGCCTGTGCATTTACTTCCCTGCGCAGAGGCGTGACTGGAAGCGCCCAGACTTGGAGGAAGTCGTCTTCAAACGAAGGCAGATGCGCACCACCGCTGCCCGTTGACAGCGTCTTGTCTGTGTACTCTGTGGCAACGATCGGCACGCCTTTTCGGAAGATAAACCTCCGGCAGGTACCGAACATGTGCTTGAGATTTGGCGGGCCGTATATGTTGAACTGCGGCTTTACCGGCGGGTCCGTGACCCTGCCGCGCTCTTTCGCCTTCTCCCACGTCGCGAGATTCTGTGCGTACGAGGTCGAGGTTGCATCGGTCATGGTCAGCATCATGCCGGCCATGCCACCGACGTTCTTCCATTCCGTCCTGCCTGTCAGGAAGAAGTCCTTAACCTTGAGCAGGCGCGTCCCCTGCTGCACGAGCGCGCGCTGGATGCCCTCTGCCTGGCTGCCGAAGACATAGTGGTTGTTGGTCTGGGTGCGCAGAATGATGGTTGTGCCGGGCGTGTCGGCCGTGGGGGTTGTAATGAACTCGATGCTGGAGGACATGTCGCCGGCGGATAGTCTGCCGTCGAGAGGTCTTGCCCCCTTGTCACGTGCTGTCTCCTCGCCTTCCACCCGTTCGAGAAGTGTGATTCGATCCTCGGGTGCCCGCTTGCGATCGATGAAGGCGCTCAGAGTCTTCTTGCTTAGGACTGCGTACTTGCGCACCTTCGGGCTTGTGTCTGTTGTGTCGGACCGCCTGTTCGCTTGCGCCTCGCCTTCTGCCTTCTTCGCGAGTTTCTGAAGCGTTTCCAGAAGGGCGGTGACCGAGTGTCGGCCAGCAGTCGATGTGAAGGTCCGGCGGTCGCGTGAGGAAAGCAAGGAGCGATATGTCGTGACAGTCGTAATGCGCCCGGTGGCGCCGAGTCTGGAAGCCAATTTGGCGAGCGACCAAGTGGATGACGCAGAAGGAGGAGTTTATACAGTCACACATAGCATGATTATACAGTCACACAGAGCATGAGGGCGCGCTGCTCTGAATCTGCAGTCGCGACGACGTGCCCGCCTAACTTTTTCGATGCGTCAATGACATGGCGCCGCTGAACCCTGCAGCGAGGCTGGCCCGTGCAGACTGGCATCCCCTCAGAGTCGGCGTCCGACGCCTTTCTTCACAACGCTCGATCCGAATCTCTGAAAGGTGGGTTGGTAGGAGGATGTAGGCAGGAGAGGGCATGAGAACTGGGTTGGTTGCACACTAGCTACGTCGACGACCTGTTCATATACTTCTCAGTAGCCATGTGATCTGCACGCGCGTGAGATCCAGGCACGTGAGAGATTGGCAGAGGTCAACAGAGTCAACTTGGTAGAGGTCAACAGAGTCAAATGCAGGCAGTTGTGTTGGCCTGATAAGTAGGTGCCATGATGCCATCCGTCCCTCGTTGCCCTCTTCCCGAAAAGCAACGTCGCAAGTGGGCGAACATGTCAGCCACGCGCCCTTCACTGGGAGCTCGCTCAGCTTCAGCGCATACTATCACTGACTGTCAGACACTTGCACATATGCTAGACCGTTGTGCTGCGACGAGCTGTGTCTGTTGACCTTCAGCCCATATTGTCGGACTTTGGGTTTCCACCGCCCTGCTACGCTCTCATCCCCTTTCAAGATCTTTTGCACATCGATCCTCGTCCGCGTCTCCGCATCGCCGGCTTCATAGAGGAAGTCGTCAAGCGTGAAATTGCGGCAGGCGGAGGTGCGGGGTTCAGGACGAGGGAGGAACCTGGAGATAGTGTCACCTATGGTTGCGAGGGCCGTGCCGGACGATCGTTCGAGTAGTATGGGGACGAAAACTGCGAGCTTGACAGCATTGCTGACCGTGACAGTGATGATTAGAAAGACTCAGTAGGACTTTGCACAAGGCAGGACGCACGAAACGATTACGCGCTGCACGTGTAATGAAATGTCGACATCCTGACCAGACGAGGAGCTGCCTTCTCCAACATGGAACGGAAAGATCTGTGTCCAAAGCTTCCATCGTGCCACTGACGCAATGGAGGCATAATGCGCAGTTCACTGAACTAAGGCCACTACACAATAACGCTCCAATATGGTCGATGTTGTGAAAGCGCAATGTATGATCCTGTCTAGCCGTTCCCACAACACCCACATGCTAACGCATTTCTGTTCAGCTTCTAAAACCACGTTCTCGACTGCACCCACACCATCACCCCCGATTCACACCCATCCTTCCCCGACCCATCTCCTTGGGCCCCATATCACTCCCGTCTCATCTACACATTAAAAACTCAACTCCCCTACACATGGTTCACATCCACTTCCCAACTCCTATTCATTTTCTCTCTCTGCGTCGAAGACTGTGTGCGCGCAGACTACGTGTTACGGTTCTGGATACAGTAGGTATCGGGTAGTGGAAATTGAGATTCACTGAAGTCGAATTGAACCAAGCTGCATGTTTAAATAGTGTGAGGACAGGGATGATTGACTCTAAAGCTGGTGTGTTACTGTAACCGTCTGAAGGAGTACCATATCGGTCCGTTTATACTCAACCTCACTAAGCTCACTGTACTGCGACACTATGAGACCCTTTGGCAGCAGCGCAACAGAGCGGCGGCAAGCTAATGGATGCCATGAATAACAATGTGTAGATCTGGCTATATATAGCTGAGGGTGGACGGATGTGTGAAGCTGTGGATGGTGAGGGCATGTTTAGCATGGAGGATTGTGAGGGTTATGAGTGGTTGGTGAGTGATGAGGTAGGTGACATGCTGAAGAAGCGGGGTGTAGATGAGGGGTATGGAGGTGTTCAGGCGCTGGCTGAGCGGCTGGACGATGTTAAGGTTGGTGTACGTGAGATTGACTCCAAATTAGATGAGATGATAGAAGGACTAGGCGCATAGAGGCGAGATGGCTACGCTCGCTGGAACGGTCGGCCGACGATTTTGATATATTACGGAACCTGTCTTCACCTCTGTTTGTTCTTTGTATCGATTCAGCTTTGCCGGCAATGTGGGTCTACATCTCAAAGTGAAGTGAACAGGTCATCTGGCTTTCACCTCCGCGACAATGGTTCACCACTTTCCTAGTTTTAACCTGCTCCACAACCACAACCACTCAACTTCACACTCTCGCAACTCTGCTCCTCATCATGTATCACGCATTGTTACCGCGGCTTTTCCAGTCAATCATCTCGTTCCGTCCTAGCTCTTCATCTCCATACTCCTCGTCACCCACCTCGCGCTCAAATGCCGCTGATACGCAAAAGCCTAGCAATACGCGAATAGATCACGTAACCAACAGTGACAGTCACGTCCAAGATCGATCCCTGTCGTAATGTGTCCCTGAAATGCGAGCACGTTCTAGACTGCGGACATCTGATCACGACGCCAAACGCGAACGAGCTGTGTGCGCCAAACTGCTATCAGGTTGCGACATCAAAGGGCGTCAAGGAAGTCAAAGAAGATGAGTTTGGCGGCGGCGTTGTCGTTGGAGTTCTACTGCGACCTGTGTGTTGAGGTTGCGAACGAGCCGCACATAGACGCGAGCTTGTCGCCCAAGGAAGCAGGTAAGCTCCCTCTCCTGTCGGCTTGGTGCCCCGGCGTCTAAACAGTAGCTGACCAAATGATTGCAGAGACCAAACGCACAGTGCTTCGTGGGCAAGAAGCTGTGAAGCGAGACAAGGTCAACAAGTTCCGCATATGCTATATCGCTCAAAAGATCACGTCTGTGCTTTGTGATGACGAAGATGGAGAGGTCGTCGAAGGCTACACTCCTATCGACAATGGACATCCGTTCGACACTACTCTGCCTCGGACAGGCGCGAACATGTTTGAGGACATCGATGTACCACCTCCCAACCGAACCAAGCCAGAGCGGAGAGAGTCGTGTGGGAAGACAGGACCATTGACCATAAGGTTGGACGTATCAGATTTCGGAGACGAGTTCGCAGAGTTGTCAACAATCAATCGAATCGGTTGATTGAATTCCGTTTTGGGCATGCACGTTGTACAGTACGGTCCATGAAGCGGTGCAAGTCTCAGGACCTCGCTCGTTCGCGAATCAATCTGTCGATCTGGTTGGTTGTTGAAAATTCTGCGAACAAGAACCGGAAGACGACGACGAAGCAGTGCTGGAAGACATCGAAGACACACTCGCGGAAGAGCCCGGTGGTTGCAGGAGCAAGCCGAGCTTGAGCGCCGGCGACAAGAAGAAGGTACACCATCCACTTGCAGACGGCGCGCCGGTGCTCGACCGATCGTGATCAGCTCGAGCCGGATGCTGGGATGTGGAGTTTCGTCGTCAATAACTTAAGCTCTTTCACGACGTAGACGAGCGGGAAAGTCCATGGTGCTAAAATTCGCTCCGAAGCTGTCGAAGAGGGCCGTCAAAACAAGTGTGTAGCATACCCTACCACTCGGGTGACAAAAAAAGCGGCACACCAAAATGCACCAATATTCTGCACCACCCACACAGCTCCCACCACAACGCTCTATAGTACTAGTAAATTATATGAGCTTGTAGAGCATGTTCATGCAACAATTTCTGTGTTTTTGAATTACTTTTCACCATGTAGATATTAAGCTATTTAACTTTGAAGTTCTGCCATACCACACCTGCCGGTGCAATACATTTGAGAACCCCCCTATCTACATCACCACCCTGTGAACTGACCTTCTGCTTTTATACAGTCTTTAAGCCTTTGAGGCATGCTATGAATTCTAGTGTTGATAAATTGCTGACTTATATTCTCCCAGCCTTCCTTTGCCAATGCAATTGTGTTGCTTTCATCCCAATGTGGGAACTTTCTTACATACTTCTTGGATGGCTGCCAGCAGTTCTCAATAGGTGCAAGGTCTGGGGATGAATGGCAGTTAAAGAAGTACTGTAAATGGTGTTGCTCTTTCCAAGTTTTGACAATATTCTTGCCTTTGCCTGGGCCATGGCCAGAATCACCATCTTCTTCAAGGGTGAAATAGTCACCTCTATCAAGCCACCTCTTTACATGAGGCTCAAGAATCTGGCCAATGTATGCCTGCTGTGTCATCTTGCTGTTCTTGTTGGACTCTATCTCATAGAAGACCAAATCAGACTTGAAGTTGTAGCCAACAGCTGCCCAGGCATGCACCTTCTTTATCTCCTTGTCGTGTTGATCCTTCTCCTCTCTTCTTTGAATGCAGTCATTGCAGTACCTCTCTCCCCTCTTCCGTGCAATGTAGAGCTTGCCTTCAGGCCCTATTTGCCAATGGACTTCATCAGAAAAGTGAACGTCCTCCCAGTCTTCTGGCTCAGGTCTCTGTTTAAGAGCTTTCTTGGCCCAATTTACTCAGGCTTTGGCTGTAGAATCGTTCGCCCACTGCTTCTGGCAAGCTACACATTTGAAGTAACCCAGGTGATTACCCATGGCTCGTGAAATTGTTCGGTCAGAGAGGCCTGTGATGCCACACTCCCAGGCCATGGCTTGCCAGCTCAAGGAGCGAGCTTCAAAGCCTTCACTTTTAAGTAAATCATCCATCTTGCACAGCTGATCATCTGTAATTTTGCGCTTTCTGCCTCGCTGTTCAGGTACTCCAGGCATGTTGTGGTGGCATCGTTGAGAACCGTCTAATATCATTGCCCATCCATGACGACGGGAGACTCCAAAGTGAGCAGAGATGTCACTTTTGAAGTACTTGATTCCATGGGTGTCATTAAACTCAACAGCGCCCTGCACCTTATTTTTTGTAGGTGTATCATGATGCGCACGTTCAGAAGGGGCTCGCATTGTAACAGATAGTAAATTAGTAGTGTGGTTGTATTGTTGTGTGGGTGCTGATGTGGGTGTGTTGAGGGGCAATGTTATTGAGTGCCGGTTTTTTTGTCAACCGAGGTGCCTACCTAGATCTGGTCATGACGGTGTGTACAATCGAAAGCACACTAGATGAAGTGTATGGGATCTGGTTAAAGGTGGCGACACACGTATTGTGTAGGAGGGAGTGCTGCTTTTTGGTAGGTCGAGTTACGCAAACCTGTCGCAACGCCCCTGTGTTGCGCCAGCATTGGTAAAACAGGCCGTTGTACGGAGTTGCAAGCTTGAATATTGTGTTTGTACTGGTTTATGTCGAACACCCCCTTGATCATAGAAGTGGAGCCTATATTGCAACATGCTGAGGGTAGCTGTGCTAGTCCTGAAACGCCCTGTGAGTGGTGGTTCACTGGCACCATGAGGAGTAGGAAAGGCGTATTAAAAAGTTCATTGTGATTTACCTTTTCGTGATTTAGCAAGTCGCACCAGCTTAACGTACCACAGAGTTTTCCCTTGCAGCATACGTAGCCCGTCCCTTATGGACGAGCAATGTCGATTCATTGCATGATGACCTTCGTCTAGTGCGTTCAATATTCAAACCATGATCCAAGCCAGCCGCTCGTACTTGGCTTCCGGCAGCTGTCCTAAATGCCCAGCACTATCTCTCGGTGCTGCTCACCTGAGGCCAATTGCCTGCCTAACTCTTGATTCTGTTCAACGTACTGTGCAACTCGAATGGCGTGTTAGAAGAGCTTGCGAGGTGGGGACACACCTTCCACCGGAGGCTCTCGCAAGAAGGTCACGAGTGCAAGCATCCTCCTTAGACGCTATCATCCTTCCATGCTCGGTTCGAGTGTCTGGCTGCCTCCATGTACCGGCAGATAAGCGCGATGAAACAGACAATGGTGTCTTGAGTCTGTCATCGGATATCGGGAGAGATAGAGCATACCAGGAGAGAGATCGACCACAAAAGAGAGCTTCACATGACCGGCCATATCCTCGCCGAGCGGTAGCACTTCCACGAAGCAGGCCAGCTCGTAGCGCCGCATGCGCTGCACGAGACGAAGAGTGCGACGTATTCCAAAAGCAATGTGTTAGTGGCAGTTGATGACATTGTTGTTTTTCATGTTACGGAAGCCCATCTGCATGAGAACCGGCAGGTCAAGGGTGTTGCGATGTCTGCTTGCGGGTGCCCGGGCATCTATACAGACTCGCGCAAATCTTGCCGGTACGTATGTAACAAGCTGTCAAGGATGACCGGATGGCCTATTAGGCGAATTTTCAGTTCTTCACTAGCCCAATTCCCGATTGAAAGAGTTCGGTGCAAACTCATGATTTCAGTTGTATTCAACCAGAGCCACTGGAGCTCAAAATCATTTTTGGTGTAGACTCCGCGGCTTGAATCCGAGCTTGCATGTTGGTACATCTGAATCAAGACTTGACACACGGTGATGACAAGCCTGAGCATTGAGAGTGACGGAGAACCCGCGAACGACGATGCTATCACGAGTACGCGCTGTTCGAGCTGTTTCTGTCACAGCTATTGAACGTTTAAGATCTTGCAGCGCCGTTGCCTTGAAATATCTTAGCAACCTCATCGTGAAGTATTCCTGCAACCTCTGACGATCCAAATATCTGTTGACCATCCAGCTATAATCGCGACCGTCCGCAAGGGATAGTTCATTGACAGCCCATTCGAGCGAGTACCAGCTGTGGTTATCCTGTTTAACCACGTCACAGTGTCGTACCAGTCTTGTGCACTGTCGAAATCCAAAGGTTGTATCTGATAGCCATGCGCTTCCTCGAGGCATATGGCATCGAACATCGTCCGCAAAGTGAGCACTAAGCACATGAGCGGACTGTCAAAATCCTCCAGCATGTTTGACGATAGTGTAGCGACTTCAATATACCCACGAATGTCGCATGTTAGGTCCATTGACCTCCTCTCCGATCCAGGCCAGGTACTCAACCAATGCAACCCGCAGACGCTGCAGGAGCAGGACATGCACTTTTGAACTGTCTCTGTCGAAAGAATTTAGAGATCTCCGTTGTACAAGGGGCAAGTACGCGGATTTGGGCGTCTGGCTTCGGTCCACCTGCGCAGACGAATTAGGCCGAAGACATGATTGCATGTTGGAAATCGTGCGGCAACATGGTCCTCATTGTAAGGATCATGGCAGATTGCGCAGTTGTCGCAGATATGGAGTGAATCGAGGAATATTTCTACGATGCGAGGCAATGGAGTCATGGGTGATTGCAGAAGTGTCGTACCTGAAGGCGGGTGAAGCAGGGATCGCAAAGATTGACCTTGAAGTTGAATATCCAGTTGCGGAATGTGGTGATGAGCGGAAGTGATGAGAAGAGCAAAGGTAAGCGAATAATTTCCAGTGATCCATCTATTCATTAGGCGGCACAGCCAGTGAAAGCAGCGATAGGATCGTCGGCTCCATTTTGGGCTGCAAGACATTGTGAAGCTGAGCCCTTACACCTTTCAGCAAACTGCTGGATTGAGACGCAAGATGGAAGAGGCTTGCTGAGTCCATGTGCCGGCGAAGCCTGTTCTTCGTCACCCCGTTGGGAGACAGAGATCTGAGCAATCCGTCGTAGCTGATTGTGATGACCTTGGCTCGCTCTCTCATCGGCAACTAGCTCGCCCTTGGCTTTGGCAACCCTTCTCCCCCAGTACTTATCTCATATTTCATCCGAAGCGGCTCGAATGTCTTAGTCCGGTGTATCTTGTCTGATTACTGCCGCAACAAGATCCTCAGCGGCAAGCCGTGGACGTTTGTCAGCGTGGTGTTCTTCATACTTAATCTTCTTGTCCGATTGACCATCGACACACGAGCGCTTTGAGCTTTTAACAGAGAGACTGCACCCGATCGATGCATCATTGTCTTCGATTTCATGCATCGTGTATGGAGAAGGTTGAGCAGCATCTACGTATTTCTCATCTCATTTGGCCCTCAAGGGGGCTCAAACGTCCTTAGGATGTCTTTCTGTGGACTGATCAGCTCAGTTAAGATATTGAAGCTGCGCATGCAATATACTCGCCGTTTTCTCTATGACACAGTGATGCAGAGTAGTCGCAAAATCAGATCTCTTGATGGATCGAGCAACTGGCGTACTCGCAGGTCACCGGCCCCAGAAACACAACTGTGCGACAAGCCACGGCCGAGATGGTAGTTGTGCCTTGCTCCTGTCAACACGCTCGCAGCATTCGATGAAGTGTGCCCGTTCATAGCCATCGATCTAGTAGCCGGAATAGCCATCAAAAGTATAGGTAACACCAGAGAAAACGTTCTTTACGATCTTCCCATCAGCGCGGGCTTCGGCCAATCTTGACTGTGAAAGATCCGTGGGGTACTTCCTGAACATTACAAAAAATTAAAGAAGCTGGGTTTGCTTTGATCGTGACGAGATGGCCGTCAACGACGCGTAGTTTTCCGCCTCGCTTAAGAAACGCGCTAGCCCTAGCATCAGATGCGCTGTGACTGAATCCTCCCTTGTTCTTCTTCGTCCTTGTTCACGCCTTCACACATGTCACGACTCGAAAGCCGCACTTTGAGCTCAGACCGCTCAATATGGCTCGATCTTTCCGAGGAAACCTTCCGCCAGCATCTCGTAGAACTCGAAAAGTGCACAAATGCGGTCCCAGTCGAGCCGCGGATATTTCCTCTGGAAGAAGATGAGAAGGCAAAAGGTCACACACTGCCGCTGCGTGTTGAGCAGCAACTAGCAGACGATCTTGCCTTCTTAGCTGCTATCGAGGAAGGTGCTCAAAGCGTTGCTGCCGTATGTCTAGAAGAGCACGTGCAGCCAGCCGGACTCACGGTACGGTTCGCGGCATTAGACCTGGCGCTCAGCGGTGAGGTGAAGACTGCATTGCAGCACATCGTTGATACTCTAGCTTTGAGTACTCGTGCGACCGATGGCTCGGCACGGATCGAGGCAGTGTTCGAGCAGATCGTGAAGCTGCACTTTCGCCGACTGCTCGCTCGGCTTAGGTCTAACAAGTGGGAGAAGCCGAAGTACCTCTCCAAACAACACAAGAAGCCTCTGTGGCAAGACTTCGCAAATCTCATCCATCGAGTCCAGTTCCTTTACACCAAGAAGGAAGCGGCAGCGAGACGTTCTGTGGAGGGCCATCTACAGAGTCTGGCCCCGGCCTATGAAGCATTTGAGGCGTCCGAAGCTGGATCACAGATTGAGTTCGGCTCTCTCAAAGAGCTCATCAAGGCAAGTTACCAGTTCTGCAAGGCTAAGGATATTGCGGAGTTTGCACGACGCTTAGAAGGCAGCCCTAGTACGACACCCACAGCAAAGGTCGCATCAGCCATCAAGTGTCTCCGACAGATCGAAAAGATTGCCGCATACTCGCGCATTGCGACTTCACTCATCAACACAAGCCGGGAATATCATTCTCTGTTTCGGAACGAGCTGCAACTGGCATTCCTGACGCCGTATAAGAGCGTGCCGACTGCAATTGGATACGAGGCGTGGGCGACCAGCTGCCATGTACACGCAGAGGTCCAATTAGCCGTGTACTATGACATCTTCTTCCAGTCTTCCAATACGTCTAAGACGAACGGCGATTCGCATGCATGCCTAGAGGCTGATTTCCACCGCCCCCGAGTCATCGGAACATCCAAGTGGCTTTGTTATCTCTGCTACCTCTTTCTCCACTGTCACGGTTGCTATGTGCCTGCCAACACTCACGGCCGGCTCTATGACCAATGGACGGTGCCTGACCTAACTGAGTATGGAGATCAACTATGCGCTCGCTATCGTAGCATTCTACACGCCATGGACGATGAAATCATTCGAGAAACGAACAACACCGGCCCGGCAGAAGCGGAGGAATTGGGTCTTGTAAGATGGCGCGCTGAGCCAATGACGAGCCGACAGAATATTCTGAACACAGACATCGTGATTTGACTGCGGACAGTTAAAGGATATTCACCACGTTTGGCTGCAAGATTTCACATCTAGCCGAAAAATCAAAGACTCAAATAAGAGAATTCGGACAGTGTTGACGCTGCAGTCTGACCCAAACACGAGGCGTGGCTTCCTTATCGATAAGCTGCTGTTCACCTGCAAGCACGCAATGTAAACAACCATGACAACGACGTCATTACCAACCATCACACCATCCTCAACTACGAACACCTATATCAAAAAATCCTCATTTGATTCATAATTTACATCACGTATCACGAATTTAGCATGCCTGTCATCCTCATTGTAGGCGGGACTCGAGGACTCGGAGCGAGTCTGGTGAAGCTGTATGCTTCAGATTTGAACGACTACGTGTTCGCCACGGCAAGGACATCAAATCCCCCAGCGAACAGTGCGTACGAGAATGCGAAAGTAAAAGCTTTCAACGCTTACGATTGAAAGGCAAGAATGTCACGTACATTCCCGACATTGACATCGCCTCAGCTGATGCTGGTAGCAAGGTTATTCGCTTTCTCAACATCAGGGGAGTCTCCAGTCTAGACACAGTGATCATCACTGCTGGATATTTTGCGACAGAGAGCCTCCAGAAACCATCGTTCGAAGCTCAGGAACGCATGTACCGTACCTGCGCAATCGGACCCACGATACTTGTTACCACGCTGGCCAATGATTCGAACGACCTTCTCGGTAAGGACTCGAAGGTTATCTTCGTATCATCAGAAAGCGGCAGCATTACGCTCAGACACGAGAAAGAGGGGGGTGGCAACTACGGACACCATGCCAGCAAAACCGCGCTCAACATGTCTGCGAAGCTGCTAAGCTTGGATTTGAAGGACAGAGGGGTCGCAATAGCAACCGTCCATCCAGGCTTCATGAGGACGGATATGACCAAGGGAGTCGGATTCGACAAATTCTGGGATGAAGGTGGCGCTGTTACCCCTGACGTCGCAGCGAAGTCGCTTGCAGAATGGATCGAGACGTTCGACATCAGCAAGACCGGAGAATATTGGGCGCCTCGAGGACCCGGGTCAGTTATTTCTACGAGATTTTGCACATAGTTGACTGACTTTAAAAGTGACATTGGTACTGCCGAACCGGTGCTTGGCCCTACAAGCAAGCTTCCTACCCCTCTGCAACTACCGTGGTAGACGATATCTGTGCGCCCAGGTTGGAGATACGTTTCACGGCGAATTGATTGATTGATTGATTGTTTTAACGCCCTATCTGAGTCTAAGACTATGCAAGACGAGAGGAGCAGTTGCTCCTCTGGTAATGCAAATATTTGGTTACAACAGATGTTGAGGGACGTTTCATGGCGAAGCTGATGCAGCGATGAGATGAAATTTCACTGGATTGAAAATTGTTCGACAACTCGTAGAGTGACCACGAATCAATAATCCACCTTCTTAGTGTGCTCCCTCCGCAGTACGATGGCCCGGAAGTCGAAAACAGAGCGCGATTTGCACCCTGGTCAGACAAGGCATCACGCACAGAGTCAAGACATTAAGTAGCCGTACTATGCCCCGATGTACCGAATGTTCGGCTTCGGCGGTCTATCCATGCCGGTACCGATGTAATAATCGACGTGCGCATTCTGAAGATACCCTTTCAGAATCATCCCGTTCCGATACGCAGGGTTGTGTGGCAGCGTGTACAACCGGTGCTCCGTGGCTGATCAGTAGTGAAGATGATGAGCTCGTCATACGCCGCATTCGTGGTGATAACCTCCTCATGCCAATCACCAAAGATGTCGCCGAGGAAGCCTGGGTTCGGATCACCGGGGTTGATGGAACCGTACTTGTCGATGCGGAAGATACGAGGCAGACTGCCAGACTTGGAGGGGTTCGCTGGATCCCACTCCTCGAGCTTGCTGTCGTTGTACAATTCGACTGTGTCGTCGCCATCCCACTACAAAGACAGGTGCGCACATGGATACAGCGTAGTATCTTCCTCGAGCAAAGTGTCGCTGGACGCGTTGTACAGACCCGATCCTCCTTCGCTCCAGAGCTCCATACCTGGGTGGTTTGGATCGATGTCATCGACCCGTCCGCGTCCAATATTAGCCACCTCATCGCCGTAGTTCTTCCACAGCACCTTGCCATCTGTGGCATCATGATATTACCCCCAAAGCTTTTAAGGGTTATTCTGCTGAACGCTGTGTCCTTGCAGTCCAGGGCGAGTGGGATCCATCTTAGCGATCTGCCAGCGGTCACAGTGGCCGATGCCTGAACTAGCCATGTCGTGCTTCAGAGTGCTGTCTCCATTCAGCACAAACATGATCTCTCCAACTTCATCCTTCCCGTTTCCATCTGCGTCGATGATACGAGTGTTGTGTCCGTCGGACCCGCTCCCATCGTTCTGGTCATCGTACATCCATTCCTCAGTAATCTTTGAGCCATCAAATACCCATGCATCTAAATTGCGGTTGAACTTCTTGTCTTCCTGTCGGTTCTTCATGAACGCGATAATATGTGGATGTGTGCCATCCGGGAACGCGACGCCCAGTCGTGCAGCGAAAGGCCCATGTTCGATATAGTCGTTTCGGATCCTAGCCGTTGCGCGCAGAGCACCGGTCTTACCGTTCAACACTGCGATGAACTGCTCGTCGTTGTTCGCACCCTCGCTGAAGGCCGTTCCATCTACTAACACAACACCGTTCAAGATGCAGCGTTTCCAAACGCACGCATTCATTTTTGATGCGTACATCGTACGCTGTGGTTGTGTAACGTACGAACCGTACTAGAGCTGTCATACGCATACATGCGTACTTGATTTGGCAGATTTGTCAACGCTGCATAACACAAAGTTGCGTGTACAGCAGAAGCACTGTAGGGGGTGTTTGAGGATGCCAAAAGTAGTCAGTTACACTGAAAAATCTGCAGATCTGCATATATTGCCATCTGCTGTGACCTAGCGTCGTGAGCTCGCAATATTGCTTAGTTGTTTGGCCCTAGGATCTGTACGCCTGTTATATTGTTAATATGTCCTCAGGAGCACTTCATAACTTTGTAACGCACAGCTCTTGAAGCTCACAGGTGCAGGCTCAAGCCTCTGCCTCAAACAGTGCCCTCACTACGCCAACATATCATTTTGCAGCGTCTCATCGACTTGAGAAGGGCAAACAGAAGGCTGTTGATACGCACATCGATTCCCTAGCGCCCCAGGCTTCTAGTGAGGGATCTAACCAGGTCGTGAAGGACTACCTGACCAAGGGAGGTAGCCAGGGCGTTGATTTTGATGTGGACTGGACCAATATATGGCTGAGAGGCAAGAAACTCAGGCAGGCTGTCTTGGGTACCATGTGAGGCATAAGATCAATATGAGAGCAGGCAAAGCTCGTAGTGGGATCTGGAGATACGGCACGGATCTTGTATACAAAGAGGAGGGCAGAGGGAGGCAGAGGGAAGAAGAATCTGTGGCTCTGTAAGCTGTGCCATCAAAAGGATGCTCGTGAAGCTGCCAAAGTTGTCGACAGCCATCAGCATATTGCCAATCACTTACTGAGGGCCCATTGGATCGATGCCAACAAAGGATTACTACCAGATCCGCCACCTATGCCCTCTTCTCTGTGGGAAGCTATGAGAGGGCTCGCTGGCAGTCAAAGTGGGATATTGCAAACGTTGTGGCAGGAGGAAGAGCTGCTGCGTAGTGTTGTTGACTGGGCCATACTGTATGACATATCCTTCCTCAACGCTAGTTTGGCAGAACTCTGGGTGCTCTTCAGTTGAAACGACAGGATCTTTTCAGGGCCCTCCCCTCATCTCCATCCACACTATCAAAATATGTCCTGCAGGGCCTCACTAAGCGTAAGGAGACAGTTTGAACGCTACTAAGAACGTCTATAAGCAAAATTGCGCTGAGCTTAGATGTGTGGACTTCTCCTAACCACCATTCATTCCTGGGTGTTGTGGCCCACTTTGTTGGTAAGAATCCTTAGCACCCAGAACAAGTTATTTTGCGCCAGCTAACCTGTACAGATGCAAGCAACGCCCAGCGTGACGTCCTTGTTGCCTTCAAAGATCTACTGAGAGGCCATACAGGGCTCCATCAAGGCCTCAATATTGTCTCAGTTATATGAGAATACGATCTCGCGAATCAGGTACACTGTTTTGTTGCTGACAATGCGTCCAACAACGATCAGACCTTTATTAACAGTGTAAATCATTGCCTGAGGGCAGATTTTACACTAGATAGCAGGATATGCTGCGTGGGCCATATTATAGCTATTGTCGTCAAAGCTGTGATATATGGTAAAGGCGTCAGCAAGTTTGAGGCAGAGCTGGCTCAAGCAGCTCCCAGAGAACAGTTTGAGCTGCACAGACAATACGGCGTTGTTGGGAAGCTACACAACTTCGTCAACGCAGTCCTGGTTTCTCACAAACGTCAAGAGCTCTTCAAGGCTGTACAGATTGAGTTGGCAGATGAAGATCCTCTCTGGACATTTGGCACACTTAATTTAGTGCAAGACGGAGGGATACGATGAAACTCTGTGTATTTCATGATACTACATTGTATAGAGCTACAAGAACCCATCTCACGCTTTATACGAAAGCTGTGACGTACAGAGAAAGTTGACAACAACGACAACAGTAGCAAAGCCTACAATCCCCTTACTGACGAGCTCTCTGACAAGGAGTGGGAAGCTGTTGAGCGCCTCAAGAACTTCCTTGAGCAATTTTACAGGGCTACACTCAAGCTGGAAGGCAAAATTAGCACCTCACAGTATGGGGTCCTCCTGGCAGATGATTTTACAGCTTCAACTGCTTGACGAACACCTACGCGGCGCCCTCAATGCCTCTACAGCTATTGACACCTCTGAGTTGCAAGACCAGCCTTCCTACCTCACAACGGCTGTGAGCTACGGCCTTGAACGCCTCACTACGTACTGGGAGAAGCTGATACTTGACCCAGACATCTCATATTACTGTGTGGCCCTGGCTCTCCACCCAGCAGCTCACCTACTGTGGTTTAAGGACCACTGGCGGCACCATGAGACGTGGCATAAGAAGGCAGAGCCCTTGATCAAAAAGGCCTTTCAACAGTACCTACAGCGCAAAGATTCCTGCAAGGACAAGCAGCCTACAATACATAAAGTCCCCTGCCTTGGCCGTATTGACAATGGAGATCCAGATCTCACGGCAATATTGAGTGTTGTGTTGAAGTCGTGTCTTAAGCAAAGCTCGTAGACACTATTCGATTGGTTCTCGGGGATGAGCAGAGGTACAGAAAGCCGTCGGGGGTTGGTTATCACTGAGCGAGCTCGGAGCGGCAGAGGTTTGACCGTGATAAATCGCCGTGATAATCAGGGGGTAGTCGTCTAGTCAAAGACCATGGCGACTGGTTGCAATGAGTAGTACAGAGTATACTGTCTGGCTCGAGAGCAGGTGAGATTCCAATAACAAAGTTGATTGACGAGGTTGAACACGATGCCATAAGGGCAGCGTGTCTACTTGCTTATATACTTGACAGGAGGATTGATTGTACTGCTCATATCGAGTATCATCAGTGACTTGAT